TGTGGTAAAACTTTAAGGGGGCGGGTCCCAGCCTGAATTGTGTTAAAACGTTAAGGGGGCGGGTCCCAGCCGGAATTGTGTTGAAACGTTAAAGGGGGCGGGTCCCAGCCGGAATTGTGTTAAAACGTTAAGGGGGCGGGTCCCAGCCGGAATTGTGTTAAAACGTTAAGGGGGGCGGGTCCCAGCCGGAATTGTGTTAAAACGACTATAATACTTATTTCTTAAATAAATTCTCATTTAGTCTGAAATAAAATCACCTAAACATAAAACCAGATAAATCACTTATCTATAAATAACTACTTTTTATCTAAATTTTGAATTCTGTTCTTGTTTCTAACATTTTGATAACTAATTCTAAAATTGTTTTATATTCTATCTGCGTTTTATGTAAATATATTTTTTAAGTAAATACTTTTTAAACCAATAATTAATGAGAAATGTAAACCAATATTTAAGGGGGACTACGCTGAATAAAAAAATCATTTAGATTAAAAGGAATTGAGTTTTTCTTTGCCACAATCTCTGATTTTCTAATCTTTATATCTTTTCAACCCAATGTCGTAGACTTTAGATATTTCAAACTATGAATTCTGTCAGATCAAATAATCTTAGTTTAAAATATCAAATCTTTACTCTGTCAGGTTTAAAAGATAAAGGGATTAGAAAATTTGAATTTGTGGCAAAGATTCAATGTGTTTTCAATTAAATTTCTAAGTCTTATATCTTTGCAACCTGAAGTCTTAGTCCTTAGATTTTGTCTGGAGCAAATATACAAAGGAATTGATTTTTTGTCACAAACTCTTATCCCTATATCTTTGCATTTTAATGTCGGATACCTTAGATATTTCAAACTATGAATCATTTTAGATCAAATAATGATAGTTAGAAATATCAAAGGTTTACACCATTAGGTTGAAAAGCTATGGCGACTGTAAAATCATGATTTGTGGCAAAAACTCAGTTCCTTTGAAGTTTTATGTTATCATGGGATTTGAGGCAGATAATCTTTTTTAACCTTGTTTCTCATGCCCAGGGGGGAGGGGAGGGGCGTAGCCCCCCCCCCTCCTAAGTTTGCTAAAACAACTGTGCCTGAAATGTCTGAAGATGTATTGTTTAGCTGTACTCTGCACCTGCTCCCTTCAACAGTAAAGATGGAGGAATAAAAAATTGACAGGTTTACCCAGCATCTCTTATATTGATGAAACAAAAAACTTTTAACACACAAAGAATTTTCAGTAATATTGTATCGAAACTTATTTCTGTAAAACAAAACTTCTTTTTGTTCAGATTAACCTCCTTTATCTCTTTAGAGGATAAATGATTGTTTTAGATTGATTGATTAATGTAAAATAGAACAATATGCTTTGTAATTCCTGTTTCAAAATTGAAAATTATTTATATTTATCTATATATTAAGTAGTAATCTCTGTTTGTTTCAGTGTCCGATCAAAACCCAGGAACCCTTTGGCCGATTAGCCTAAAATTTTAATCTGTTAACCTGAACATACCTAGATATATTACGTTGTACGGGTACATTGTCTGTAAATCTAAATGCGGTCATTATTAACTATGCAAAACTTGTAATGCGATTAACCTAGCTTAGCTTTGTCCGTAAATATGTCTAACCTGTATTGTGATTAGCTTAACTACGCTTATATATATATACAAAAATCTTGTAAATGTACATTAAATTAACCTATAACATAGATATCATAATTCACGTCAGTTGGAATAGACTCCGCTTTGATTACGGAGAGTAATTCTTCTTAGTTAGAGAACAAGAAGCGTCCTGAATTACTCTCTTGAAATCTAGAACTAGATTGGGAATTACTTTGAGAATACAAACGGAGTCGTATCTGGACAGATTGATATTGGCTATGGTATTCGTGTGAACCTTGAGTTCCTGATTTAGTTGTATCTTGTAAGATATTGATATTGGCTTTATTATTCCTGTGAACCTTAAGTTCCTAGATTGAGATGACCTGGTTGATACAGGTCTGTCTTGTCTGTCTTGTTTGTCTTGTCTGTCTTGTCTGTCTTGTCTGTCTTGTCTATCTTGTCTATCTTGTCTATCTTGTCTATCCTGTCTATCTTGTCTATTTTGTCTGTCTTGATTATCTTGTCTATCTTGTCTATTTTGTCTGTCTTGATTATCTTGCTTATCTTGTCTATCTTGTCTGTGAATTTTAAATTTAAAAGAATTTCATTTTCTGACCCGGGTAAGTTAACCCAGATACCAGTGAAACGTAAAATTGGACAGAAAATTCGGTTTGCATAGTATTATTACTTTAGAACAATTCTAAGAAGAAGAGTGGTAGACTGGATGGGGGGGGGACAGAACCGATTTTTTTATATTCTTATGTTGTTTTTTGTTTGATAAAGATATGATCTATATAATTTTGTACTTTCTTGTAATATGTTCGACATTTGTTGTCCAGTTTGTCAAGAAAGTATTATTTTTTTTCGGACTTCTCAAAGGCGATTGCTTCATGAAAAATTAAAAAATGTAAACCAAAAATAAAGACAATTTACAAATCATTGGTATTTTCTCATTGTTATCCAAATGCATCATTGAGTAAGAAAAATGCTGTTTAGGAAAATTATCCATTGAGATGTTGCAATCTTCTGCAATATAATAGCTTGGACAATTTCTAATTGAAACGATTCCTATTTTGGGTTAGTTATTAAAAACAATGCTGAACTGAACCCTATTTACAGACTTTTTTAAACCAAAATAGGAAAGGGCTGTACAACAAAATATGCATTTTTAGTAAAAAAAACTTAAAGTATTAAAAATAGCATGATGGGATCAGATACAGAGCGTCCCATATCATATTAGATTATCTCCAAGCTTAAACGCCAAAATACAACCATAATACTAAAAAAAACTAGTATTTTCCGCAAGAAAATTCTTATATTAGCCTTATTCAAATGTTCAAAATAATTCATTCTTCTTAAATTTTCTGATTAGTCCCGAAAATCATAATTTAGACCGACTAACGATCTAATATGATGTGGGACACCCTGTATATATCACTACAGTGTATCTTTTAAGTCTGATTATGGTTTAAAGGAGAAAGATTTTTTATTTTCTTCTTGTTCAAATGTCAAATTTATCATAGTTACAAAATTACAATTGACAATGTTCTCTATGATCACAAATCTTAACCTTTTCCATTTCCAGCAGGAGCAGTAGTATTAATAGTAGAAGTAACAGTAACAGTATCAGATTTTGTAGTACTCTCTGTAGGTATTGTAGTGCCGTTTACTGCAGCAGTAGTACCATTAACAACAGCAGTAGTACCGTTAACAACAGCAGTAGTAACCTCTTGAGGTTTGGCTGTTGTTGTAATCCTGGGGACAGCTGCTGACATCTGCATGCCCTCTCTAGAATTAGTTGTTAAAGTTAAAGGTTAAGTAATTGATCAATATTAAAAGAGGTATAATAAGGCTTAACCCGGATCAAAATCAAAACTGATTGGTATCAATTGGTGTCAATCTCATGTTTTGATAAAAAAAACTGTAGCTAAAAGTCGTATTCTTTGGTCGTATGCCAATTTCAGAGTTTTCTAGTTATCACTGTATAAAATGTTTTTTTGCTGAGAGCAGAGAAGTTTTTTGCATTCTTAAATTTAAGTTTAATGATTGATATGTAATAGTGTTATTTAATTTGTATTTTTGATAAGATAATGTCTAATTAAATTGATTACACTCTTAATATCGAAAAAAATACATGTTTTACTTAATAAAGATTTTATTTCATTAATTTCTTATCAGATACCTAGGGCTGGTGCAGTCATTATTAACGGGGAACTGTTTTTTTAATTAACAAACGGGTTTTCACATAACTTTTAATTAAATATATACTTTTTTCGGGGGAATATTTAATATCTTAAAAGTTAAGGTTATGCTAACGACCTTATAATATTAAATTATCAACCATCATTAACGACATAAGATTTAATAATCTGGAGACTTTATTGAGATAATCGTTAATTAAAAAATAATGGGAACGATTTTGTAAGAAACAAATTATTTTTAAAACGGTTATTTATCAATTCTAAATTTTTATTTCATTTTCCCAAACATACATTTTATAATTTGATGTAAATAATGAAAACTTTTGATAAAATAACTTACTGGTTTACAACATAATAGGTCAATCCAAATCCTTGGTCATCTTTCATAATATTTCCAGCATCAGACCTTATAATTGTCAACCATTAACCATGATACATGTAAATTCGTCTTTAACTTAGAACCCCCTCTCGGAGACACTAAAATCCAAACCAAATAATTTTAGGCTCCGGTCCTTTGTTCTCGACCATCGGAGTGTAAATATCTTAAAACATTGTGAATCCATGCCATTTTCAAAAGTTAAACAAAGAATATTTTCACATAAAGAATTAGTGACTTTCGTTAATAATTAATTGTCATTCTTTTCAGAAGTTTAAAAAACGTATTAGGACTGTCCGACGACTTAACCCTTAACATCCCAAAATAGATCGTAAGAATCTTTTCATTATAAACAATTCATTGTAACGATTTATATGTTATTATTTATATAATTTTTTTCAGGAAATAAAGAGTTTTCTTCATTATCGGTTTTGATTTGAGGTTTATACTGTTGTCTATCTGTTCATTATTGAGAATCTTGCTGCTATACGACAATAATAATATGTCATTCACAGATGGATATTTATCTGAACTACTGCCTTTTCAACTATTGGTCCTGTAGTTTAAATTAACATAATATTTGCTCAATCATTTGAACTATTTTCTTTGAACATAAGCAGCAGGGGGGAGTTCAAATGAACATTTGAACTGCTCACGTGCAGTAGTTCAAACGACCAATAGTTCAAACAATTAATAGTTCAAACAGGATAGCACCTTCATTAGCAGTATTATCATAAAATAAAATAAAAACATTGAATGATAATAAAACAAGACATTCGCATATATCTATGTTGTCTATAGCCGGCCAAACGTCCGGACCGATCGGGCTGAAATTTTGTGTGGACACGGGTGGCCTGGGGGTGTAGTAGGATAAACAAATTTGAATTTTTTTTTCAACATTTTTTTCCCACAGGCAATAAAACAAGACATTCGTATATATATGTTGCCTATAACCGGCCAAACGGCTGGACCGATTGGGCTGTAATTTTTTGCGGACACTGATGGGTGGCCAGGGGTTTTATAGGCTAAACAAAGTTAGAAAATTTGTGTTTTTCAAAAATTAATTTTTTTTTTCAAAATCGTAATGTTTTTTTCTATTTTTTTAATTCCTTAGGCAACGCCGGGCCATTCAGCCTGTGATTATATATTTTTATTAACAATAGTAATTTAATTTAGATATTTACTTTTATTTGTAAACATTATTTCAGTCAAAAACTCATTGACGATCAAGAAACATCAAACAATTAGTTAGAGTTAAAAGTCATGGAATATGGGGTTTTAGCTGTGACTTTAAGTACTCTTAGCATTTCCCAAATGTGGTCTGTTTTTATTGTGCTATTAATATTAATGTAGATATGATTCTTAATTTTGTTCAGATTTCGACAATCTTTTTGTAAAAAATTTAAATCCGACGAATTTCTCAAAATCTTTAATATGTTGACAGCATGAAAAAAGGCAGAGCGGCACATTTTGGAAATCCCTGAACTAGGTAAATTTTGTTGTTATTTTTTCAAGAATCATTCATGTAAAGAAAAGATTGACAGCTAAATATATCAACTAAATCCAAATGTCGAAGACGATCTTTTCACTGTCATGTTTCGTGGGACTCGAAACCTATTATAGGGAAAGTTTTTAACTTAAGACGACATTTCATGACGTTGAAAGGATTTTAAGAAAAGGCAGAATAGTTGAGAATCTTTGCTTATTCTTTATATATCTTAAGCCTTAATATGAATACAACATTTAAACATTTTGGAAATTTCATAAAAAACAATAAAAAGCATATTTTTTAAGTCAAGTTATTTACAATTGACCAGTGGGCTTTATAAATTATATACCACACAAAGTTAGGGACCAATCGGTTTAGTCGATATTTTTAAATGGAAAAACGAACGGATCAATTTCAAACGACAGTACAATAAACAATGTATCGAATAAGTTTTGGTTATTAATTTTGAACATATATTTGAATCTTTTTTTAGAATCTTTTCTCCTCTTGACGACAGATCTAAAAAAACAATTTGTTAAATTTCTCTTGAAAATTTATTTTGGGATGTATGCAGCAGTAACAAGGAATACAATTGACAGAACTTATCTCTTTTTTTTAAATAAAAATGACGCTATCTTCTTTAATCTTACGCATAAATGCTGTTGACCAAGGCACATAATCTTAAACTAAAAAGGTTCTATCTAAATCGTGTCGACTGCAGTGCCTTAAAAGATGATTACCGTTCCACCATAGTACACAGTGTACTGTCCATGTAGAAAGCTCCACAATTACTTGATAGTTTACAAAGATTAGAACAGATGGCAGTTCCTTCTTCATCAGCAACTTTGACGTTCATATAGGTCTAGAAAATGTATAAGATGTTAGGTATATAGTTTCCCAAAGGATTTTTCCCAAGCGGTAACTTTCCAAGGGAATTCTCCCCAAGTAAAGGCTTCCCAACTACAGTGAAAACGAAAAAACTGTAGAATAGGATGACGACATTAAAACAAGAAGGAAGTGCATTTGATGTTGTTTTAAAGCAAATAGCTTTACTAGTATCTTATTAAATCACTTATTTAGTAAAATCGGTATGTTTACACTGCACAATTGCTGTGTCTCATGCTCATTGGACTATTTAAAGACATAACTTGAGTTTAAAAGTAGACTGCCTATTCCAGAGTTTTCTTGTAGCTATGCAGTTTCCCAAATCTGTCCTAGCCGCAGCGCTAGGCCCTCTAGCCTGTAATACCCCATCGCTCGCCCCTTTGCCCATCCTAACAGCAGCATTTGGCCTCATTTGCAGCCTTAAGCGCCTCCTAAGCCCTAATATAACATTTTACATTTTGGAAGTACAAGCTTGGGAAATTGAACAATTGGGAAATTTTCCATTGGGAAGTCGCCCTTGGAAAACTGCCTCTGGGTAAATACTTGACACCAAATAATTTGCGTCAAATTAAAGTACATCTACTGGAATAAAAAGCAAGGAAGCATATGCAGACACTTTTCTGAAAGGGGGAATCAACCTTTTTTTTACTTTAAAATAATGTCTTATGATTCCTTCCAGAGATCATTGAAAAGTGCAGAACAGTATAATGCATTGTGTAACCAAACATTGCTACTTGTCTCATGTGAGGATGTAAAATCGACACAATAAGAGCTAAAATTGGTAACACAAGTCGGTTCATTGTAAAATTTACATCAAAATGTCTTTTCAAAATTTGACCTTTTTAGATCCAATATAAATCATCCCTGGCCTGGTTATAAACTCAGTCCTTGTCCCAGGGCTTAGGTCGCACACAGACACCTTAACATTTAAAAAAAATCAAAATAATAATAAAAAAATAATTTTTGATTACATTTTTCTGGCTCGCATGAATATATTTGAGCGATTTAGTTGTAAATGATCCTTAACTTGAAAATTAGGCTTTTATGCTTATTTTAAATACATTTTTTCTAATTAATCTGTTTGTCTGTCTTTATCTCAAAAAAAAGTCAAACGGCTGAACTGATCAGGCCCAAGGGAAGGTTTGGTTTGGAAATGTTAAAAAATTAAAAATGTTGCCCCCCAAAATAATGGCAGCTTTAAGAGCAACAGTAGACAGCTAAAGGTATTACTATAAATGGGGCGCGATTGCAAAGCGCCTTAAATGCTTTGTTTGGTTAATAAAGAGATTTGAAAGTTCTAAACTTTGTCTTAAACACGATAATGTAGAAAAATGTTTCCCATTTTCTTTCTTTTCTATAGCTTTATACGTGTGCTCTGAAACTTCGATTATTGCAAAGTTAAATACGATATTGTATTACTACAGCGTGAGATGCTAAAGGCAATCATGTAATAAAAAATTTAAGGAAAACAATGTCTATGAGAAACTCAAATTTAAAAGTTTCTTTCAAATCTGATTTTCAGCTTTTTTTATGTGTGTCTCTAACATTATAGGAAAATCAGATCAAAATACAAAAGTGATTTGTTAATATTTTAACGAATATCTTACCTGGACTAAACCTAAACATATTAGAAGCAAAGATACAGTCATTTTCAATCTAATTAAAATATATTCGTACAAATCAGAATCACCCCCAAAAGATGAGCCTTCAAAGACGACCGTGCAGAATTAATTATATCTGTTTCCTTAAATTTAGTGTTTCTTGCGGCTTTAAAGCTTCATTCTTTCTGTGGCAAATCATTAAATAAGGCATTGACAGATGAATTTTTCTTCAGTCTTTTTTGTATATGTATATTCTCATGCTTTTAATTTAAAAAAGAAATTAAAATAGATAATTTTAAGGAAAGCTAAAAAATGTGTTACTATAAATTTAAAATGCAATAAACTGATTACTCTTCTCATATACTTCCAAAACTTTAGAATCGTATTACAAGAACTGTCACTAGCAAAAGTCTTAAACTGATTACTCTTCTCACATACTTCCAAAACTTTAGATTCGTATTACAATAATTTTCACTAGCAAAAGTCTTAAACTGATTACTCTTCTCATATACTTCCAAAACTTTAGATTCATATTACAAGAATTTCCACTAGCAAAAGTCTTAAACAAACATTTCTTAGGGAAAAGGAAGCAGCCTACAGTTTTAATACGGTGGTAAGCGATAATATCAATAAAATAAAGACGACTTTTTTATTTAAGTTTTAAGTGTTAACAAGCTTTTTAATAATTACAAGTTTACAAGTAATTAGAAAGAAGACTTTTAAATTGACAGCTTCTCTTTGTTTCCACATTTTTGTGTATCCATGCTGTTTAAAAGCTTGATATAAATCAAAATTCAATTAGAAAGTTGTCTTCATTATATTGATAGTATCGCCTATCACTTATTTTAATGTATGTTCTCGTAAACCTTTGATTTTTAAAAAGTTGCTGTTTGATCCAGAACAAAATCCATAGTTTGAAATATCAACAGTCTTCGACATAAGGTTGAACAATTATAATTATTAGCAAATTAGAGTTTAAGCCAGTATTCAGTTCATTTACAACTAATTTGACGAGGTTTCAAGGTAAGTTACTGATCAACTGTTTTGTAAAATAAGGTTTATATGTTTACTTTGTTGTCTAGTGCACCTGGTGTCCCTGGTGTGTCAACTTTCCTTAACACAACCTCTATACTCATCTAATATTAATGAACCCAATTCCAACATCTCATGCACCTCTGACCCTTTAGTAAAAGTAAATTCAACCTTAAGTCTGACTGCGTCAACCTTGTTGCACCTGCTAGTCCTATCGAGTGTCTACTTTATTTACCCAATGTCCGGGAGATGCAGTACCAACTGGGACTGGAAAGGTTGACCCGGCTCGGAAATTCAAATGTACTACAAGAATACAAGAAACGAGAGAATTTTTTTATCAATTTTTAGATTCATTATTTCTTTAATGAATTTTTGTCATTCGTGATTAAAGGTTACAAAATGTTATTTAAGTAGGTTAAGTGGATAAATAATCTTGAGAATATTTTTGAGAGGCTTGATTTTTTGTCATATATTTATAGATCTAAGGTTACGTATAAGATTCAATTTGAATAGTAAATGTCGAAAAGAAATACTTTTTTTAATTGCTTTCGTGCATTAACAATATACAGGGTCCAATTAAAAAAAACAATGCATTACAGTCGTTTTGGTTAATTTTTTTTTCTGTATTCTCATTAATATAGATTTTACTTCTTGGTTCTATAAAAGATTAAAACACATAATTTGTTCAACGTTACATAAATATGTAAACTAGATGTACGACCAAAGACGACATATTTGCATTTTTTGCTTTATTCCATTTGAACCCCCTAAGGCCTTTACATGGAAAATGAAATAGTTTTAACTGTATTTAAATTTACTTTATGATAGAGCATTCTAAAGTAATGGTGAAAGTGTTAAGTATTTTTGTGATCATTTTGAGACGTCAAAGAATTGAAAATGTCTTGAAAAAGACAAAAATTCAATTTGAGTAGTAATTAAAAAGGCAAATTAACATTGCTCAAAAAGACTGAGAGATTATTTAAAATGACCCCATTTAAAGAATGGAATTTCCTATTCACAACAGTACTCTAAACCTAGTCCATTGTTCAATACTGATAATTTCCTTCTTTTTCTCCTTATTCATTAATTCACTTTCATTGAAAATCGGAATTAAATATAATCAATTTTACGGTAGAAAAAAAGAGAGATATAATCCCTTCATTGGTACTCTGGCAAAGGTTCAAAGGCTACAGTTGTAAATAAAATCAAACCAATAAATTAGGATCACTAAAAAATATTTCTACATGCAGTTCTTTTCAGATCAAATATCTTTTAGCTTTGAGGCTTGAAGTTCAGAAATTAGTTTTTTTCTATTTCTAAAATACTAAATTATTATTGTTTTTCACAATTTTTTTAGACATACTGTAATTTTCCCATAATGATTCGGGCTTTTTTCGGGGTAGGACTGCAATCCTGAGGACGGTCCTTAAAAAACCCAGAAAACACCACATAGTTATTCACCTACAATAAATTATTATTCATATTTTTTATTGAAATTAGTTTTTTCATAAAGTAATTCATTAATTTTGTGGTATAAAAAATTAGAACAACAAAAAAACAATAGTATAAAATACTGACTAAAAATATAACAGTCGCCACGCCGCCTCTTTAGAAAATTTTATTATTATAAAATTTATGGAGGTGCAAAATATATTTCAGCCAATTTTTCGATCGTTAAATTCATTTTATGGTTTCTTGATTTTAAGTCTAAAAATTATTTTTCAAAATCTACAAAAATTTTTACTTTTGTTGCAAAAATGAGATTAAATTTTTTTTTTCCAGTCAAATGGCTTGTTTTTTCATGGTGTTTCTAATTCCAAAATTTGTATTTCATCGTATTCTTAATTAATTAGGGTAACAGAGCTGAAAACTTTAGAATGATGGATATCCAAGAAAGAAGATAAAAATTTAACCAATCAGCGTGTCATGTTAAGATGTACTCTTTAACTTTTAAAAAACCGGTTTTGTTTTCTGGTGTTGATGGTGTAATATCAATTGAACTAAACATCGATTAAACGAACATAAGTTTTGGATTAATGTTTATTAAGACTAACGTTCAAAATGACAATAGTCCTCAAATATGTTTTTTAATAATTTCATACTAACATGATTAAATTTATATTTGTTTAAATGCTCTAAAAGCCGGCTTGTGAACAGCTGACTTTAATTTAATCGGATATTAGTCCAATCGATATAGCATCTCATTCCGTCAAATGTTATCAAACAACATTTTTATACAGTAGAAATATCCCAAAAGAGGATTATAAGAAGAAAATCAAAAGTGTGTACATTGGATAATCAGATTAAGCAAGATCGTGATTAAGGATATCTAATAGTTTTCAGCTAAGTCTTATTATCTGACCTGAGGTATACTATTCACCAGACCATAGTGCTTCTTCAGAAAGGAAATAAACTTTATACTTGGTCTATCAATTGCCATATACCTAAACAAATATACCGGAAATAAACTTTATGCTTGGTCTATCAATTGCCATATACTTAAACAAATATATCTAAGTAAATGCACTGTATTATAATTGTACACTTTGAAATACCAAAAATCTAGTCCAGAGAATTTTGGGTACTACTGTACGTTAGAATACATATAGGATGTATTACAGAGAATTTTGGGTACTGCTGTACATTAGAATACATATAGGATGTAATACAGAAAATTTTGGGTACTGCTGTATATTAGAATAAGCATATGATGTAATACAGAGAATTTTGGGTACTGCTGTACATTAGAATACATATAGGATGTATTACAGAGAATTTTGGATACTGCTGTACATTAGAATACATATAGGATGTATTACAGAGAATTTTGGGTACTGCTGTACATTAGAATACATATAGGATGTATTACAGAGAATTTTGGGTACTACTGTACATTAGAATACATATAGGATGTATTACAGAGCATTTTGGGTACTGCTGTACATTAAAGAATACCTATAGGATGTATTACACTGTACACTAGTTTATAAAATACATAAAGGATGTATTACAGAGAATTATAAAGACTACTATATTCTATAGAATATTTAGGATTTAATATTAGTATCACTGTAAACTAGTTTATAAAATACATAAAGGATGTATTACAGTGAATTATAAAGACTACTATATTCTATAGAACAAATAGGATTTAATATTAGGATCACTGTAAATTATGAAATGTTCAAGGTACAGTTAAACCCAGAACTCAGAGACAAAAAAGAATTTATAAAATATCATCCTGAAAATTTTTCAATGGGTTGTATACTTGTTTTACCTTAATCTCAGTAATAGTATAAGTATATAAATAGCCATGTATTATGCGGAAACAGTCTTAAAGATCTCCTTATAATTATTTTGTTAAAAAACTAAATATCTCCAGTATTAGAAAACGACATTTTAAAAGCTCTTTCCGATCCATGTCTCTAAAGTTTTGGGTTAAACTGTACATTCCAGAGTATTTTGGGTATCCCTGTACACTACCTAGGATGTGTCCCTTCTTTATACAGCATATATTCAAACAGCTTCTTCCCACAACCACTTCGCTGTCGCCGTTCTTAAATATCAACAAATAGAAAAATACAACAATTGAGAAAACAAAAGTAGCAAAAAAGGCATTTTTTTGTTTACAGCTTCATTACAGTAATCTAGATTATAGATAACCTTCTTTCCAATTAAACCCCTTCAACATAACGTTATTAACACTGAAAGAAAGAAATGCTAACCAACATTATTGCAGTCAGTTTCAAGATAGTTTTGAAAGTGGAGCTGCAAAATTATGTTTATGAAAAAAGAGGAAAAAATCAGCCCTCAAAATACTAAAATCTAAACTTTCAAGGGTCAATGTATAAATTGCCAAATATAATCTACAAGGATACTTTTTCTTATTTACTAAAAACCTTGTTGTAATCCAGTGTTTGCGATCCATTTGATTTTTAATGCGTTGGAAAAAATCATTAATTTTTGATAATCTCTTTTTTGAACACTTCAGATTTAGGTTTTGAGAGCAAAGATTTTTTTCAGTCTTTGTTCATATTTTGACCCTTGGATATGGATCCTTGGATTCGCATATTTTTGGCATTGGATTCTAGGCAGTTGTAATCTCAAACCTTCCACGTAGAAATCCAGAACACAGTTTGGAATCATCTCTTGTGATTTTCCCTCGCTATCCAAGAGAAACAAGGTCTTGTGCCCGACCTAGAATATATTTTATTTCTTCTCAAAATGAATTTAAAATGAAAGGTCTATTTGAAGGACTATTTAAGGGACTATTTAAGGGACTATTTAAGGGACTATTTAAGGGACTATTTAAGGGACAATTTAAGGGACAATTTAAGGAACTATTTAAGGAACTATTTAAGGGACTATTTAAGGGAATTTAAGTGTCTATTTAAGGGACTATTTAAGGGACTATTTAAGGGACTATTTAAGGAACTATTTAAGGGACTATTTAAGGGACTATTTAAGGGACTATTTAAGGGTCTATTTAAGGGACTATTTAAGGGACTATTCAAGGGACTATTTAAGGAACTATTGAAGAAAATGAAAGTGTATTTTCAAGTGTCAGTGACCCTCCATGCTAAGATACCTAACGGTACCTTGTAACATTTATTTGATCAATAATGTGGAAGATAATCATATTTTTCTAGGTTTAAAAGAGTTAATTAAAATGTGCTTTTGTGCTATAGGAATGTGCAAACCACTATTGTAGAGAATCAAAATTGAAAATAAAAAAATTTCAAATAAAAAAAAAATTGATGTCTAATTCATACTTGAGTATAGACAAAGCTTTAACTAAGATCGTTGTTGATGCGACATTGTCATCTTTTCATGGAGGAGAAATTAAGCTTACAGTCCCTCTAAACTTTGATGGTTAAAAGTCTGAGCGACTGTGTGCATTTAACGCGAATTATTTTTGTATATTCTTTAAATTAAGAAAATTCTTTATTATTATTTATTTGTGTCGAAATTACCTTTAGCAAACCAATGACTGATCCTTTCCCCCCATTGCTGTATTTATCCACAAGAATATATGCTGTTTGTCCCTCTGTTTGACGGAATTTTAAACCTTAATATTCAAATTATTTTTTTAATTAACTTAGACGCGCACTAGCATTAGTTCCAACCAAGGTTGTTTACAAAAGTTTGATACTCTGGATGCGCTCCAATGTACGGACAATGTCGTCTTCATAGCAATGGACACTCAATATAGNGTAAGGATTTTATCCGCTTTTACAATTACGTCCTTTGAGGATTCTGAGTATCTGTTGCTATGAAGACGACATTTCTAATATATTGGAGCGCATCCAGAGTATTTAACCTTATTAAACAACCTTGCCTCCAAGAAACTATTTATTTTTAAAATAGAATTACAATGAAAAATTTAAGGGTCTTTTTATTGCGGATTTTTTAAAACTGGATTATTTAACCCGTTTTGTTAAAAAGAAAAAATGTGAGAAAAAAATTAGTTTGTTAGCCAACTACAGGGATGTACAATAACAAAACACAATTTTGGTACACAAATAAATTTTATATGTCCATTCCTAGAAACGGGCCTGGAGATAATTTATTTAAATCATAGTCATTCATTTTCAGCTGATACCTAATACTACCAGGGGTGTCCCGATAAACATGGGAATTAATAGACGACTTGAATATCGTCTTTGATTTCTGATAATTGATAATGAAATAAAGTGCATCAATAAAAAAATTGAAAATCTAAAGAGCTTTCCAAAATTGTGATCGAGAAGAAGGTGAACAAATGGTAAACCACATTTTGGAAATCCCAAGTCGAGTGTTTTAATTGTGATACTAAAAAAATAATGTTTATGAAATATCCCGATTGGAACAAAGACGATATGAAATTCATTATTTAATTCCCATGTTTCTTGGAACACTCTGTTTTAGGACCAAGCAACCAGCTGCACCTTTTTTAATTTGGCAATTGTGGTTTTATGAAATATAATTTCGTTTTACAACTTTAATTTCAAAACTATATAGTTAAGAATAAAATTGTTATTTAGAAATAAATGTAACCTGATGTAATTTGTTGTTTTAATCCTTGAGCTTTAGAGCTGGCCTCACCCATAGCATCCAGGATTGAGCTAACCTAGAGGAATATAGCGATAACCAGAAAACTGTAGAATAGGAAGACGACATTAAAGCAATGCTGTAGTTCAGTAGGTGTAGTTACAAAGCAAATAGCTTTACTAAATCACTTATTAAGTGAAATGGGTCTGTCAACACTGAAACATTGCTGTGTCTAATGTTTTTGGATTATTCAAAGTCATAACTTGAGTCCTAAAGTTGACTTCCTATTCCAGAGTTTTCTGGTTCTCACTGTAGTATTTAGCTAACCTTGAAAAACAACAATTGTTTAAAGCAATTAGATTTACCAATTGGTTAAAAAAAGTTTAAGTCTTCAGTGTACACATCACAATTGCGGTGTTTCATCATAAAAGTACTATTTGAAATCGATCGTCTTCTTATTCCACAATGTTATGGATTCTTCGGTACAATCTTAAAAACTTAGTTGTTCGTTTATGCCAAAAGGTTTAATTCTAGTGTGATTCTAGTTTCATGTTAATTTATCTTAATTTTCTAATTTTGAAACTGTTGTAGCCCAGTGGCTCAGATCTTTGGTATTTCAAACTATAAATTTGGCTGAATCAAAAGTCATAGCTAGTTTATAATATGAAAAGTTTACAATATAAGGTTTTAAACAAAAATTAATTTTAAAAAAACCATGTGACATGAATTTCTCTTTTATTACGTTTATCCTGTTGACCCGAACGCTTGATTTCGATATTCATTGCAGATATTAGTAATTTGAGAGATCAATAATTGATCTCTACATTTCAGTTATTCCTGGAGGGTACGATCAAGATCAAGCATTGATCTCGACATCCTCAATACAATAGATGTTAGGTACTTTCCCAAATACTTTTTTCCATGTGGCAACTTCCCAAAAGTATTTTCTCAAGTGGCAATTTTCCAAATGTGCAATTTTCTTAAACCGCATCTTCCCAAGTTAATCGTTTTTAAAAACTATCAAAATAGCGATCGTATTTCGTTTCGTTTTAATTATTGTCTTATTGTCTTTCATGGAAAAAAACGCGTGGTTTTGATAACAAAACAAGTTTTGAAATTTCCAAAAACGAGAAACTATCGTTTTTTTAAACCATCGTTTTTTTAACAATCGTTTTAGAAAAAATATTTTCACTCTGAGTTTTATTACAATTAATTTCAATTCAAATTCAAAATTCAAATTTAAAAAAAAAGATTATTTATTTTAAATGAAAAACGATAGTTTTCGAAAAAATCGCTCTTAAAAAACGATATTTTAAACAAACGATTGTTACGTTTTTCGTTTCTTACGTCGTTTTCAAAACGAAATGATCATTTTTTTAAAGCGAAAACGATCCATCCCTACCTGCTGCGCCTCAGAAGGCCTAACTTAACCATCGGAAAGTTGACGCTTGCAGGAAATTGCACATTTGGGAAGTTGCCACTAGGAAAATTGTCACTTGGGAAGTCGCCCTTGGGAAATTTGTCTTTGAAAAAGTACGTATAACACCTGTTTATATTGACACACCTGTTGTTGTACAAGGGAATGATTAAGCTCTCCGGAATATCCTTCTGGTATCAGATCAGATCTCACAACTGATATCTCCTCAGAAAACAGCGTATTCACGTTAAACGAGAAATCCATGGCTGCTGTTATCTGTCAATGTAGGCTGTTGACTTTTTCCTGCTGTCTGCTGTTGTATGTTCGCAGTCTGTTGTTGTTTGTCTCTCCGTTGTTGGCTGTTGTCTGTCTCTCCGTTGTCTGCTGCTGTATGTCCGCTGTCTGTTTTTTGTCTGTTTCTCGGCTGTCTATTGTTGTCTGTCTCTCCGCTGTATTCTGTGAGCTGTACCCTGATTTTAAAAGTTGGCTTTCACCAAAAAGATTTCAAATGTTGACATTATTGCACTCAAATTCTGACATTGTTGATTCCATTTTAATTCTCTTCTGAAAAATAAAAAAAAAATATTTAGGATATTGACATAAAGAATATGCTAATTCTTTTGTGAAATTACTTGTACGAGTACAACTTTGTAACTTCGTAGATTATTATATTATTATAAGAAAGCTAATATATTTGGTTGGTTGCATATTGTATACAAAATTTTTTTATCATTCTCAATAACACGGTGGAAAGAGGAGTTATGAATTATGATTTAAGGCATACATTTCAGAATAATGTAAAATTAATTCTTTACTTTAAAGGAAGTGTTCGCGAAAAATAAAAAGGGCATAGGCGTCATGCGATAAAAAAGCGCTTTTTTATCGCATTAAGCCTATACCCCCTTTCATTTTTCGTGAACACTCCCTTTACTATTTATTCTAAATTCCAGAATTTTAATTTTCAGAACAGTCAACCTTTAACATTAAAAAACAATGACAAGATGAAGCATCTATTTCTATTAAGGGGTCCACCTTCAACAGAGTAAATACTGTCCTTATCTGAATATTCTTATCATGTATTGGTCACATTTATCATTTAAATCTCAACTTCAAAATTTGTAAAAATAACGTACAATTTTTTAATACTTTTTATTTATAATACACAGCCCAGTCAAAATATGTAAAATAGCAAATACGAAAAATCGTGAAACGGGTTCTAAAGTGAAGAATAGCTGACTTTTAACCAGAACCTCTACTTTACTCGGGGACCCCCCCCCTCCCCCTCCCAGTTGCGCCTTCACTGAAATAGGATCTATAATTGCAAGGGTTTCTAGGTATATCAAATAATCAAGGAAACATACGAAGAAACGGAAACAGGATGAGAGGAAGAGGGGGGAGAGAGGGGATATAAAACCGGTGAGGGAGGGGGGGGGGGCTGTTTTCTATTTTACTCTATGCTTGGCTAGGTTTTAGCACCATTACTTAGCGCTAATTGCAACTCTTCCAAGTTTGCAAGCATATTTTACTTTAACCCCTTTCGAAATTGATTTGTAATGAAACCACCATTTTTTTATATTTTGCCGACCGACCATTTCAAATTGATATTTTTGTGTATTTCTTCCATCATAATTTCTTATACAAAGCATTGATGTAAAACCGATTAAAACCGATATCATTATTTAAACCATATAAAAGAACTAAACTACTAACACCGTCTCAAACACAAGCCTACAATTGCTGGGAGGAACGATTATTATAAAAAGGGGCGACCCCCCCCCTCTCTGCTATTGTCTTATCCTGTATCTGCTATGTATGACAACTCCTATACCTCATCAAATTCAATGAATTGTTAATTGAACATTTTTCTCATTTTCTGAAACAATTATACTGCGAAAAATATTTGAACCGACTTATTCAAAGCTAGACTTATCTTTGTAACTTATCTGTGACCATTTTGCTTTGTCTACATTTTAAAACACTAATAAAAAGTTTACGGATTTAAAGATACTTTTTCGTGGATTTTCAAAATTTTATGAAAGGCAAATTTTTAAAATTTTGATCGTCCACAAACCTTCCTTGAGGTCATAAAAAGTCCCACAAAAATTTGAGCCCAATCGTTTTAGCCGTTTTGACGTTTATCGGTTACAAAAAATAAACAGACAAGCAAAGTATATATAGGGTGTACCACTAAACATGACAGTTGGTAAATAGTTTAGAATATCTTCTTCCATAATTTGTTAAGTTAATCGTTCTCTAGGAAATTACCCGTAATTTGAAAGAAATCTTTAAATATATCGTTTAGAATTCATATTGAAGATCTCGATGGATTTATACTTAATTAATTGAATATGAATGAATCACTGATGACGAAATAATTATACCTCTGTGCATAAAAATAATTGACAAATTAAAAAATTCAACAATACAATTATACAACTGACGTTAAAATATAGGATGTAATTTTATAGTGTCATTATTCCGGCCGTTTATTGACAAAGTGAATGGAGTTCAGGCTTATTAAAAGGACCCAGCTGTAAACACGGTATATGCAATACTACTGCCTAACAGGGAAAAGCTTAGCAATATTCTCTGCATTTTTTACGCCCACTTCTTTTTTCCAACAACTTTCCACGGTGAATAATGATGGGGGAGGGGGGGGGGGGGGCGAAAACCTTTGAAATAAAACTTGTAGAATAGCATCATCCCTGGTCCGTGCAGAAAGGTTTAGGAAAGGTAACGGTGCGTCAACAAGAGCCATCTATCGGGCAGCAGAGGGTTTAAACTCACCGTAAACCCTCGTAACTGTACGTTAGATCTATCATCTTTATTAGGAACTGATAAAGACACGTTTAGTATGATTTATAACGGTACCCGACTTGTGTCAGAGAAAAATGAGCAAGCTTTACTTTTACATGGAAAATGAAAAATTCATACAATTTCCTTAATTTTCTCTACAGCTAAAATCCGCGCCAGTCGCATTTGTATAGCTTAACAATTGAAAGTAAAACATTTTCAGTCAGAAATTGTTACAAACGAATATGCTTAGTTTGCAAGCAATCACATTCTTTTAACTGCATGATGCGAGAAACAACTTTCATATGCTTCCTCAGGGTCTTTTACGCTATCATTTAAACTCCAAATTTTGTAACTTTTTATGAACAGCCATAAGACATATTGTATATAGTAGCGTATCCTAGTTTTCAAGTACCCCAGCAGAGATATGGATAAGACAACTCACTCAATTTTGGGACCCTGGCAATTAAACCTTAAAGATGCACTCGATTTCTATAATATCTTAAAAATGGACTTGATTGACTCAAAATTCCCAAGATGGTATTTCCTGAAAATTGAGAATATAATTCACTGGACTGCATATTATCATAATCTAAAGTTTAGGTGTTTTGACTTGATGAAACCTTATGGTCCATTCTCAACAGTGGGAAGGTAAAACCATAAGGCAGGCGTTGCGAATGCGATACAGTTTGGAGTCAACTCCGGCCCAAAGGAATTAAGTCATTGCCACAATCTCTGATTTTCTCATTTCTCTATACTTTGCAACCCAATATCTTAGAACCTAGCTAGATATTTCAAACTATGAACTATGTTAGATTAAAAAGTCAAAGTTTGAAATATCAAAGGTTAACGCAATTAGAATGCAGATATATTTGGATAAAAAAAGACTCAATTCCTTTAATGATTAGGATAATTGAAGTTGAACCATGGACCAAGTTTAACAACTTCTATTCAGCTTGCCTCAGCGCACAAGAGATCTGGCTGAACCTGTGGTACGGGGTTCAACAACTTGTCACTATATTCATTAAAACTAATCTCTGGTCTTTGATACCAAACTTTCATTGTCACGTTAAAACCTTAAAAAGGGAATTGTTCACGAAAAAATAGCAGATGGTTGTAGGACAAAAATAGTACATTATGATATGGGTTCTAATCCTTTTTATTCGTTTTTTTTTAAAACGTTTCGTAAACTTCCAACTTTCTAAAACTGTATTCTACTAAAGATTACCTTTTTTTAATCGTTAATTGATATTTGTTATTATAAATGAAAAACGATCGTTTCAACACGTCCTTCTTGTTCGCTTTCGGTTTCTTCTATAAGCATCGTTTTGGAATCCATAAAACTCAGGAGGGATGATAGTTCTCTACCTCTGTGCTGTGCTCAGTTAGCTGTAAGTACTGTACACCTACAAATGTTTACATAATATTGATATACTATTGTTGACTTGAAAAGTCACTATAATAAATAAAGAGATCTAAAATGGATATTTCTAACATTTATTTAAAAAACGAGTGTTTTGAAATATTTGCATTTAGGCGGAGTTAAAATTGGTTGATTTAGAAATTAACAAAGGAATTAATGCTGGATATTAGATGGCTCTTCATGGAAGTGTTGTAGAGCTTCATGTTGGTGGAGCAGATCCGGGAACTGGGACAACAGGGCTTATCAATGGATCGAAGGCAATGCAACTCGAGATAGCGGAAACTTTGGTCAGATCCGTTTTAGTTTCCTAAGTAAGTTTCTCAAGAAGTTAATAGGAAGATCAGAGGTGAAAGCACGCCTGCTGTTAGTTCAGTATCTGCATCATCAGCCTGAAGGAGTCATGGGGGGTGATGTAGAGCTTCATGTTGGTAGGGCAGATCAACAGGTGCGTTGCGCTGAGTATCTGCATCATCATCATGAAGGAGCCAGGGTTGAGACGGAGTTGTGAATGTCTTGAGTGTTTATAGCTGACTGCCGGGGCTGGGATCTGTAGAAGGGGGGGGGGGAGAAGAAGCGGGGGTTACATGTGGGCTTCATGGCGGAAATGGATCTTGAGTACACATACATCTAGAGAAAAGGCTACGGCATTTGAGTCAGAAAAATCGTCTTCCTTATATTTTCGAATTTGTGTTAACAACTATAGGTTAGGCCAGAATCTCCTTATAATAAACAAATATGCATTGCACTCTCGGTACAGTTGATGGCCTATAAAATTGGAAAAGGATTAGCGTACATCATCACTCTCTATATACACTAACCTCGTTGGTTTAAACTTATCAGATTTTTGTTAAACTTCACACTAAGACAAATGTCCATGTGAACATTTATAAATACTGCGATATTTTTCTATTCTTATACTATTAAGTTTTTGAAGGAAAATAAACCCTATCCCTCCGGGGTAATTGCAAGCCAGGATACACATGGGGGGGGGTCAATTTGACCCCACTTTTAAATCCCATGTTTGATGTCCAAATATGACAAAAGATATATCTTTCGAAAGCTCTTATGCCTTACTTTTAGAACCTGCAAAAAAATTAGCAAATTTGCAAAAATTGAAATGTTGTTTTTGCAAAATGCATTCATACATATAGTAAAAATGTTTTCAAAAAAATGCCCAAAAATAATAAAATATATATTTTTGCAAAGCTTTTGACCATGCCATTTAAGATATGCGAAAAAATCAAATTTTAAATAACCTGATGTGTAATTAAGAAAAACTATAAATGAGCAAATTTCTTTTGACAGGTTGTATGGAAATAATTTGCAAAAATTTCTTTGCAAGCTTTGTGCAATCCGTTTCCTTATAGCATGGGCTTCCCTAAAAGATAAAAATTATCTAAAGCTGATATAGGAAAAGTCATAAAAGAAACTGAGTTTTGGTCACGAATTAAGATTTTTACACTCCTATATCTTTTCAACCCAATTTTTGAGTTTGTTTTATGGCAAAAACTCAAATCATTTCAACAGCCTCAGAAAATACTTTTTTGTTATTTAAAAAAACCACTAGGGGTTAACCCAGCAGGAATAGGGTTAATTAACTTGAAAATATAGGAGCAACTGCTGGGTATCAGAAATAAAAGAAAAAAACTGAATATATTCCGTACAGTCGTCTAGAAAGGCTAACCCTCTGTGGGTAGTGTATTATATGCGACAAGGTCCTGTGTTATAAATATTTATTTTTTATTGGAAATCTTTTTAAATTCATAATTTATAAACACGCTTTACAACATTTTGTAAGCTTTAAAAAAGTTTATTTCGAACAATTTCAAATCATTAAATGTTTCTTAATCTTTTATTTAATTCTTTTCATTTCTTCGCTGTTTCTTGTTAGATTAGATATTCTCTGCCCAGAGCCCGTCCAGAGCAGTACTGATAAGTATTAAGAATCAGGTCCATCAGCAGCTCTGATAAACAAAAGTATGAGAGATATAAAATAAAGAATGAGAGATATAAAATGAAGAATGAGAGATATAAAATAAAGTATGAGAGATATAAAAAAAAGTATGAGAGATATAAAATGAAGTATGTGAGTTATAAAATGAAGTATGAGAGATATAAAATGAAGTGTTAGAGATATAAAATAAAGTATGAGAGATATAAAATGAAGTGTGAGAGATAAAAAATGAGGTGTGAGAGATATAAAATGATATAAATGAGAGATATAAAATAAAGTATGAGAGATATAAAATAAAGTATGAGAGATATAAAATGAAGAATGAGAGATATAAAATGAGGTGTGAGAGATATAAAATAAAGTATGAAAGATATAAAATGAATTGTATAAGAGATATAAAATGAAGTTTGAGAGATATAAAAGGAGGTGTGAGAGATATAAAATAAAATGAAGTATGAGTTATATATAAAATAAAGTATGAGATATATAAATTGAAGTGTGAGAGATAGAGGTGTGAGAGATATAAAATAAAGTATGAGAGTGCATATAGTTTCACTCGGATTGTGAATAATTCAATTAAATTTAAAATTAATCAATTAGTTATTATGCAACCTATAAATGTTGACATCAATTGGATACATTTGTATAAAGTCAGAGATATATTAAAAAATATTCATTCCTGAAGACGACATTTTCATATTTTCCAGGAATGTTTGAAAATGAAGAGCTAGTCGCAAAAACAAGTTTGAAGCGAATTATTGATTTAAAAAAAATATATTATGAAATATCAACTATATATGAATGCATCGATTTAAATTGGACTACTGTAGGTTGTTATATCTGAATGAATAGTTTTTATTTAAATTATTTAAGATCTAAATTGAATAATACAACTCCGTAAATTTGTATGGGTCCTGTGCTCTTAGATATGAGTTGTTTTTAACCATTTTCTTCTCATAGACGCAACAAATTATGTAGCCACCTATACCTCCTTTCTTTTTTTGCGAACACTCCCTTTAAATAAGGAGTATACTTTTAAATTACCCCAAAAATCCCTTAATAAGTAAAAATATTTACCAAATAGTTCTAGTAATTGACAAACCGAAATCCCAAGGTACATTGAGAGTACACCTCCCAACCCACTGATCAGAGTTCCATCCGTACTCTGAATAGGAAGGAAATGAGTTATTGCCACAAACTCAAATTTACTAATCCCTATATCTTTGATACCTTATGGTGTAAACTTTGATATTTCAAAATAAGATTATTTGATCTCACATGATTCATAGTTTGAAATATAAAAGGCCTACGACATTGGGTTGCAAATATAAAGGAATTAGAAAATCAGAGTTTGAGGCAAAAACTCAATTACTTTAATTATTGAAAGGGCCGGACCCTTCATTGAAAGAGTTATTTGTCTGATTAACTTCGATAGCCTGTAAAGTTTTGTCTGATGTATGTTTAGTTTTTGAAAACTGGTTTATATATTTTCATTTCTGTTTTTTTATACACAAGAGAACTTAAGCATTTGTTGCTTAAAAACATTGAAGAAAATATAAGAATTAAACAACGTTCTTTTCTACCTTAATTTATCAGATTAAGTTTTCAAGGGTTTTGTTGTACATCGAATATATCACTCTTAAAAAAAATATTGGAGGTTCACATAAAATAATTATGACAGTCCCTTTGGGTGTTTGTTTGTTTGTAATTGTTTGTTTGTAACCGATAAACGTGGAAACGGTTTATCTGATCGGGCCCACATTGTTTGTGGAACCTCACATGATCCCAGGGAAGGTTTAGGATGGTTAGAATTGAAAAAAAAATTTCTTCATCTTATATTCATCGAATTTTTGAAACTATTTTTAATTTAAAAATCAAAAATATTTAGTTTAACCTTTAAAAGTTAATTATTTTAAATCTTACCGAAAAGTCCATAACTTCTGAAATAGATTTAGAGTTGAGGGAGCTGAAGTAGACATTGATATGAATCAAATTCTCCCTGAACACATATTTAAATTCACATCAAACTCTAATTTTTAATCTCTATATCTTTGCAACAAGATGGTGTGTAAACTCTAGTTCACAGTTTAAAAATATCAGATGTCTGTGACTAGATTGCGAAGATAAGAATTAGACAAACAAACCATATTTATATATGAGATTTATATTTCTTTTATTTACTTAATTTTCTGCCAACCATTAGGGAAAATTGAATCTGAATAATGTATGATATTTAACAACAAAAACCAAGTGCATATTATTATTTCGCAAAACAAACTATTTGAGCAATGTTTCGTGCAAAACTTTTGCAATCATATTCTAAATTTAGATTATTAAAATAAAGAATGTGCGAAAAAAGATCGCAACAAACTATACTTAGTTGAAAGATTATAATTCATTGTTCATATATTTATTATATACTAGCTGAAGGGCCCGGCGGAACCCGTGGAAATTTTTTTTTATTACCAAAAACTTCAACAACAAAAAAACGTCTTTACATTCAAAACCCAAATCTGTAGAAAAAAGAGAGATTATAAAGATTTCTTGATCTCTGAATGGTTCATGAAGTTTCAGCATAAAAAAAAATGAAAAAAAAGAAGAAAAACAATTTGACAATTCTGCTTTGTTAAACAAATTCTATGAATCTTAAAGAAATCTTTATGACCTGGAAATATCTAAGGTACATAATATTGGGTTACAAAAATACAGGAATTAGAAAATATGTACAGTTGCAGATTACAAAATCCTCAGCGGTGCCCGGGGGGGATATAGTGAATTTCCCCCCCTCCCTCATGGAAAATCAAAATAATGATTCTTAGGTATCAGCCCCAAAGGCCGCGCCGCTGGAATGTCCGTATTTGAAATTTTACCCTGCTGTAGTTTTCTGCTCGTCTGTTGGTGAAGGTTGAACTCCGTCAGGATTGGGGGGTAGAGAATCTAGAATTCTAAGTATTAAATTAAATGTAATCGAAATTGCAAGTAAATCTCAGGCCTCTATGCAAAGATGGTAATGCCCGATTCTGATCAATAGAGTTGAAAAAATTGTTTTTAGGTTTAGAGGTGTTTAATTCTTACAATTTCTGTACATATTTTCCTGAAGAAGAAATGTGCAAGTCGCATTTTAAGAGAAAAAAAGAAATTGAAAAGAAAGCTACAAATTAATTAATTATTAACTCTTGATCATTAATTCTTTGTGAGGACCACTTGAAATTCCGTATACAGTCTCTTTAAGAGAACTTTATTCTTTTTTTGATAAATTTTTTACCCATCATAAACTCCTTTATTGCGGCATCCTAAATAAAAACAAAAAATTAATAAAAATAATTTTAAATTTAAGTAAGTGTTATGTTTTTCTTGCTTGCACGTTTTACGTACAAATATTTAAATTGATAATTTTTTAAATTAACGTAGGATTTAATGAAATTAACTGCAAACTAAAAAAGTTATGTGTTATCAGGGAATGCAAATTAATTCAGAATTATTTGTCAATTTCCATTTGCAATTTAAATTTTCAAATTAAATTAGGAATCCATTTTTAAACCTGGTATTTTGTGGACGGCCATTGCGAGGTGGAGAGTAGCATTTCATATTCAGTCTCAAGGCAGGCAGCGTTACAGGGACACACTCTAATAGAACAAAGACGACTTTCATAATTTTCATTGATTATGTTACAGGACACACTCTAATAGAACAAAGACGACTTTCATAATTTGCATTGATTATGTTACAGTGACACACTCTAATAGAACAAAGACGACTTTCATAATTTCAATTGATTTACAATGACACACTCTAATAGAACAAAGACAACTTTCATAATTTTCATTGATTATGTTACAGTGACACACTCTAATAGAACAAAGACGACTTTCCATAATTTGCATTGATTATGTTACAGTTACACATTAATAGAACAAAGACGACTTTCATAATTTTCATTGATTACGTTGCAGTGACACATTAATAGAACAAAGACGACTTTCATAATTTGCATTGTTTATGTTACAGTGACACACTCTAATAGAACAAAGACGACTTTCATAATTTGCATTGATTATGTTACAGAGACACACTATAATAGAACAAAGACAACTTTCATAATTTTCATTGATTATGTTACAGTGACACACTCTAATAGAACAAAGACGACTTTCAAAATTTTCATTGATTATGTTACAGTGACACACTCTAATAGAAAACAGACGACTTACTTAATTTTCATTGATTACGTTACAGTGACACACTAATAGAACAAAGACGACTTTCATAATTTGCATTGATTATGTTACAGTGACACACTCTAATAGAACAAAGTCAACCTTCTTATTTTAATTCACTTATAGATGTAGTGCCCGGTGTTGCCCAGGTTAATTTCACTGTCATAGGTTACAGGTATTCCCCCGTTTACCCGCACTCGGTATTAAATCATTATTTTAGCTAAAGTGCCTAACATTGCCCGTGGAATTTTTAAAAAAGTGGAATTGGACTATGTGACTTCCGCACTCTTAATTTAAAACTAAACAAAAGTGAAATTAAGGACAGACAGTCACTTAATAAACGATTTTTTGCATTTAAAAATTTTAAATCGTAGTTTTTAAAGTAAAAATCTTTATTATAAACGACATAACTAGCCTAATTTGCATCTTTCAGTCATCTAAAACTAAAACTCAAAATGTGAAATTAAGGACAAAAAGTCTTTTATTGAACGATTATTAGCTGCATTTTTTAAGAATAAAAATCATGTTCTTTGAAGTAGAAATAAATTTATTTTTGACTACTGAAAGCGATTTAAAATTGTCTATTTCCATAACTGTTACTCGCAAACTGGTTGATTAATCAGGTGATGGGTTAGGTTGATTACTAATTTTCAATCCTCATATTAAATATAGTTAGTTTAATAATTTCATGTGCTCAGGTAGTCTGTTTATTACCAATTGTGACACATTGTGATGGCAAAAAAATTTTTACTTTAGACTCGATCGAGTGAAATTTAAATATCTGTAACTGTAATGATGAGTGATTTTGTTGATCTTTTACGATCAGCAGTTCAAGGGATCTTAAGATCGCTGCGATCATAGTTATCTAGGGGTACTATACCCCCGTTGTACAGATATAAAATAATAACGGTTTTGTTGTTTACTTGAAAATTCGGGAACAAGCCAAGCTGAGTTATTTTTAACCCAAGCGACGCCGTCCGTTATCTTGGAGGGCGTTGCGCTAGGGGTGTCGGCCAGACAGGCCGGGAAAGCTAGGGTTAAATCCAAGGAGGGAGGGGTGAAGGTTCCCAGAAAAAAGCAGTTGGAGACCAACCCTTTCGATGCGAGGTGGAGGAATATCCTGAGCATCCTTATACCGTAGACTATTATTTATTTTTCATCGATCGTATAGTATTTTCTTTCTCAATGTTTGTATAAAGTATAATAAATTGTAAAACCATCTCTCGGAATATTTGACGTTTGAGTTGTTGCATTGAATTTTTTATCATATTCTAGAGTACATGGAAGGGAGGAGGAATATGATTTTTTTGTCGAAAATAAATGATTTGTTCAAAAAAAGCAATTTCTGACGTTTAGTTGGAAGCTATAAATTTCTGTTGCAAAATAAGCGATTTTTTGTGAGAAATAAGCGATTTTTGTCGCTTATTTGGAAGCTACATATTTCTGTGCAAAATAAGCAATTTTTTTCTTGAACAAAAGCAATTTTATTTGAAGATAAGAAATTATGTTTTTTTATGTTCATAGATTTTTTATCGCCTTATTGTGTGCCATCCAACTTTTACACCCGATTTTAACTTTTTAAAATTAGAGCGTAGGAGCCCAGAACTGAATTCCTACTTTCTTATTTTTCCTATTCTTTAACTTTTACTGCAAACTACATGTATACAATCTCCTTAAAGCAATGAAAGAATTAGGTAAATTTTTATAATTCATAGAAATTACCTCGTTTGAACTTCGTAATCTTGAATGATTTGGTCAATGCAATCAAAATCTTCTGGAATAAAAATATTACGTGAAAATCCAGTTTTTGTTTTATTCCAAACATGAATTTATAAAAGAATTTTAAAATTTTTTTTTTTAACTGAATATAACTTTGCAATAGTTTTCTAAAGTGTCGTATTCTCAACATGTCTAAGATCAAATGCCGCGGAAAAACGAGTTTACTATATCAATGTCAGTCCTGCATATTTCAGGGCTATTAATTTATCTTGAATTGAAAAAAAAGCATTAAGAATTATCAAAAACTTAGGACTCAACAATGATTTCATAAATCGCATTAAATTCAATCCTTTGAAAGTGCGAAAATTATTTTTGTGCAGATCAATGATGAACCATACATTTTAAAATATATGTCAAACAACATTCTTTTATGTGAGATTGTATGTACTATTTACTAAAATATATTTGTGGGAACCAATATTTTCAGTGAAAAATATTCTCTAGGAGAAAAATAAAATGTGGTATTCAAAACATAAGTTTGCGGAATGTGCGAAGACATTTGTGCATGCCATTTTTTTAAACAAAACCCTTGCTATATTATGTTCCAAAAATACAAATTTATTAAGAAAATAAAACTTACTTCCTGCACTTATCTGACAAGGTCTGTAATTAAGTTTATCATCGTCTTCTTCCACATAAAGAGGGTGATAACAGGAGCAGGTGTTCATTATAGTCTCCTGGAGACAATACCGCTTACACCGCTATAATATAAAGTGGGTGATATCAGGAGCAGGTTTTATTTATAGTCTCCTGGAGACAATACCGGTTACACCGCTATAATATAAAGAGGGGGATAACAGGAGCAGGTTTTATTTATAGTCTCCTGGAGACAATACCGGTTACACCGCTATAATATAAAGAGGGTGATATCAGGAGCAGGTGTTCATTATAGTCTCCTGGAGACAATACCGCTTACACCGGTATAATATAAAGTGGGTGATATCAGGAGCAGGTTTTATTTATAGTCTCCTGGAGACAATACCGGTTACACCGGTATAATATAAAGAGGGGGATAACAGGAAAAGGTTTTCTTTTGGGTCTTCTGGAGACAATACAGCTCACTCTAAGAAATTTCAAATTTCATCTATCAAAATTTGTTGGAGCACAGGCATCAAATTCACCTTAGTAGCAGAATTATTCGTCAAACTTTGTTGAATGATTCTGCTAAGGAGAATTTGATGCCGGTGCTCCAACAAATTTTGTTAATGAAAATTTGAAGTTTTTTGATGTGGTTACCTCTACAATATTAATAAAAAAAACTTTTTTGGGATGCGATAACAATTGTCTATGAAATGCAATATCTATGAAATATCTTTTCTATTTATTTTTTTTTCAATGAAACTTTTCTAATGATCCTGCAGCCGGGTACATGCTGCGCATGCCGTGCATGCTGAAATTTACATTTCACTGTTTAACTTTACAAATCAATATGATGTTTTTTAATCAATTTTCACTTACATTGATAGAGTACGGTCTTTCTTCTGTAGTTGGAAAGCTTGTGTAGATGGTTTCTTGCCAGCTTGTTGTACAATTACTCGCATACGGGGACTGGAGCCGGGTATATGTAACCTAAAATCAATGTGCTGTACTCAAGGAACTCAAGCAGTATTTCATACTCCTTGGCTTTACTATTCTGAGAAACCGGTTTTAAAAACTGTAAATCACATGGCTAGGGACCAGTGACAGACCTGTCGAATTGCAAAGTTTGTCGTAGTTGATGGAAAAACGTCCATTCCAAATTCGTCAGGTAGAGCAAAATCGTCTGAGGATTGAATTGAAACCCTAGGATAAAAATGCATTAAATAAGTATTGGGAATTTTAAAAAAACTTTTCTCGAGTTAAAATCAATGAAAATGGCTTTGCAATCTATAGCTTGAGCTTGTTAATTGAGGGGTCATATGTTTAGAATTTGTAAAGTTATCAAAACCAAAGTTTTTTTTGTAAAGGACAAAAAATTTAGATATAATTGTTATTCAAACTTCACATTGTGCATTTTTTATTTACCTTGCCCCACCATTTGCCGTAAATCCATTAGACATGTAATCAGCCTAAAAATTAGCTCAGTTTAGAAAAAAAAGTACTTTTCCTTTTTCTCTTGTGTAATGAAAAACCTGCAAACATAATTTGAGGTTTCAAGCAAGTCTGTCTGGAACAATTTACTTATTATACCTTTTAAGAAAGAAGAAAAAAACAGAAAAAAATGTTAAAAATATTTTCAGTCAGTTTTTTACTTATTTTCTTTGACAGATAAAGGATAACAACATAAATGGAATTAGAAAGGTGAAACAATTAAAATATATTGTTGTGATTGATGTTAATCAATGTTTAAGACTAAGACTAAAGTTATAATAGGACAAGAACCTCCTTGATTAAGGTCAAAGCTGCAAGACAAGAACTTACTTGGTTAATATTAAGGACAAAATAAATACCAAAGCTTTAGGATATTAACTTATTTTGGAAATATTTAGGACAAGACTTAAGAACAAAACTATAGGACAAGAACTTACCTGATTAATGTTTATAACAAGAATAAGACCAAAACTATAGGACAAGCACTTACCTGATTAATGTTTATGACAAGAATAAGACCAAAACTAAAGGACATCAAGGACTTACCTGGTTAATGTTTAGGACAAGACTAAGACCAAAACAAAAGGACAAATGACTTACCTGGTTAATGTTTAGGACAAGACTAAGACCAAAACTAGGACCTGTCTGTGAGCTCAATCTTTCTCCTCCAAAAGTATCCTAGACAGTTACTACAATAGATACTACAGGATTCCTCACAAAAGATAAGACTGTAAAGACGACATGAAACTCTTTAAAAGGGACTGTAAGGGATAGTGATTTTCCATGCAAAGATAGAAATGCCCGATTTACAGAGTAAAGCACTTTGAACTTTATCCTTTGTGGGTAACCCTGTAGATTACATTAGATTTGGTAGAAATAAGATTTGTTAGCACTAAGTTGAAGTTGAAGTCGCGTTTTACACGTACAGTTTCTAAATATTCTATGATATGCAACACAGGTGCAGGAGAAACGGGGGTGGGGGATTTCACCAACCCCCTTAATATTAAATAGAAAATAGGGGAGTAAATAAAAAACAAACATTAAAAAAAACATTCTGTTTATGTATCTTTATGTATTTTTTAAAATGTTATTGGCTAGTTTAGATCATTAAGCGTTGGTTTTTTATAGCTTTTTTTACAAAAAAAAGGGTTTTCTTAAAGGGACAGTAAAGGGAAAATGAAAGGGGGTATAGGCTGAAAGCTAATCACTTTAGCTCTTGATCGCGACCCATGAAAGTTATATCTAATGTTCCTGTCTCCAGAAATTGATATAAAACTGTGTTAAAATTATACGAAAATTCATATATGTAAAATTTGGAAAACCTGAAACTTAAATCCCGTGACCAGAACTATCACCAATGGCAGAGCAGTATACTGGTCACGTGTCTCCGCCTGTATCACGTGACCACTTTACTGCACTGCCATTGGTTTGAATTTCTGGTCAAGTAATACGGACGTAAAAATAATATTATGAATGAAACCTATTGAAAATAGAAATAACAAATATAAAAGTAAACCTAATTTACAATTAGCTTTCTCTGGGATATCATCGTTTTCAGATTGGTTGCTTATTTGCTGAATATTATCTGTTTAAACCTACTACTTTATACAAAATTGTATATATATTAATATTCGTATATATTTGACACAGTTTTATATCAATTTCTCGAGACATGAACATCAGATATGACTTTCATGGGTCGCGGTCAAGAGCTAAAATGATTAGCTTTCAGCATATACCACCTTTCATTTTTCCTTTACTGTCCCTTTAATAATAAGGTTGCAGTGCAGCAGTAATAGTGTTCTACGGGGTTTTTAAAAACGATCGTTTTATTTAAAAGTTCGTTTTTTAAAAATGGTCGTTTTTAAAACGATCGTTTTTCAAAACGCTCGTTTTTAAAAACGATCGTTTTTTCAAAATGATCGTTTTTATAAAATTCGTCGTTTCGTTAACGATCGTTAACGACGACCCTTCGTTGACGATCGTTAACGACAACCCTTCGTTAACGATCGTTAACGACGACCCCTTCGTTAACAATCGTTAACGAAGAGAGGAAACCGACCTGAAGGGCATCTGTACTTATCATTGAGTAGTTTTTAAGAAAACATCAAGGAGTTTAACTCCCCCACAACTGTTAAACTTCATGTAAGACGACATTCAATAAAGTTGCATGCAATTTTTTTTCCAAAAACGACCGTTTTGATAAAGTTCGTCGTTTCGTTAACGATCGTTAACGACAACCCTTCGTTAACGATCGTTAACGACGACCTTTCGTTGACGATCGTTAAAGACGACCCTTGTTAACGACGACCCTTTGTTAACGATCGTTTACATAATTGTCAATAAAATTTTTTTTCAAAAACGATCGTTTTTTTAAAAACAATCGTATAAAAAGCGGTCGCAAATCGTTTTAATAAAAACGATCGTTTACAAAAACGATCGCTATTCGTTTTCTAAAAGTTCAAAACGAGTGGGTCGTTTTTAAAAACGATCGTTTTTTTCCGAAAACGAAACGATCGTTTTTGAAAATGAAACAAAAAACGATCGTTTAACGATCGTTTTTAAAAACGATTATTAACCCTACTTGTATTGAATTATTAATTCATTAATTATACAACTCATGAATAGTATAATTTAAGATTTCAAGTTTAATTATAAACAGGATTAAACAGGATTATCCACAACTTTTGAACTTTCAAAGACGACTTTTTAAATCTTTGTTTATCGTCTTTATTGAATTTGGCGGTTTGTTTGTAGATCCGAACCTTTCAAACCTTTCAAAAATCATTAAATGAAATTAGCAAGATCATATTTGACGCAGAAAGATGAGTTAAACATTTAATTATTGAATTAAAAGGAAAAAAGGTCGTCATTAAAGGCTGATTCTTTTTGGGGCACCCGGGTATGTGTACTACCATACATCGATCTATACACTTTGCTTGTCTTTCTGTCTGTTTGAGTGTCTGTTTGTCTGCCTGTTTGTATCAAATAAACGTCAAAACGGCTGAACCAATCGAGCCAAAATTTGTGTTGGACCTCACAAGACCCAAGAGAAGGTATATGGATGCACAAAATTACAAAAAGTTATCTCCAAAAGTTTAAGACTTTTGTTAGATTTGAAAAAAATATTACTAAATCTGCAAACTCTTTTTTTGTTATTGTATTGTATAGTACAACTACAAAGAGAAGATGCTCACAAAAAGATCCACAATTTTAAAAGTTAAAATAGAAGATGGGCGCGAAGCGCCATAAAGGCTTTTTATTCAATTCTCTGAGAAATCTTGATTAAGAGATGGCTCATTAATTTATTTAACATGGTCAGTTTAATACAATTTGAGACAAAAGCTGGTTGTAAATTAAACAATTTAAAGGATTATATTAGTAACTAGAATATTTTTTTTATTTCGTTCTGACAAGTCATATTTTAAAAATAATTTTTTTTTAAATCTCGCAATTCTCACCTGGGGATTATGCTTTAGATTAAAAGTGTAGCAGTTTCCATAATTAGGAGAGAACGACACCAAGAAAAAACTGAAAACAAAATAAAAAAAACTCTTTTTTTAAATTCAAATTTCTTTTTTTTAGATTACCTTTCCGTGTTGCAGTCTTTCCCTCTGAACGTGCAGGCTTTTACAAAATCAGCATAGGGGTGTCCTAACTCAGTTCTAAAATGTTAAAGGGACTGCAGTAAGCGTAATTTTGAGTGACCCTCCATTTACAGATGCCTGCGTTGTGAATCGGACATTGCCGTCTTTACATGGAGGGTTAGTTAAAACTACGCTTAACCTTTAATAAACACATACACAGAATATAGTGATTAATGAAATCAAACTTACTAGGTGTTTTATATTGATTTTATATTCTACATTTTAATCTAAAATTAAATATAAACTGCTAACTATGAGAATGATGCCATTAAACCCTATCCCCGCTGGGGTACTTGAAAACCAGGATACGCTGGGGGGGGTCAATTTGACCCCCCCCTCTAAATCCCATGTTTTATGTCCAAATATGAAAAATGATACATCATTAGAAAGCTCTTGTGCTCTACTTTTAGAATCTGCAAAAAAATTTGCAAATTTGCGAAAATTGAATTTTTTATCGCAAAATCCAGTTTTATAGTAAAAATGTTTGCAAAAAAAAATTTTTCCAAAAAATGACAAATTATACATTTTTGAAAAGCCCTTGACCATGCCATTTCAAATATGCAAAAATTTTTGCAAAGTTTTAAATAACCTAATTTTTAATCAAGCAAAACTAAAAATGTGCAAATTTCCTTTGACAGGTTGTTTGCAAAAAATTTGCAATTTTTTTTCGCAAAACTTGTGCAATCCGTTTCCTTATGTCATAGGCTTTCCAAAAAGCTAAATTTTATCAAAATCTGACAAGTGAAAGTGGGTCAAAACAAAGATTTAGTTTGCTACAGGCAAAAGCAGTCATTCAGGCAGTGTGCCTGAGGACTCAGGCAGTTAGTATTAAAGCCCGGTTTTAGGTCTAAAGGGAGGGCTTTGGGTATGTAAGAAAAGTCAGAAAATTTCAACAGCCTCAGACCAATACTTATTTGAGTTATGTAAAAAAAACTACAGGGGGGGGGGTCAAATTGACCCCCCCCCCAGCGGGAATAGGGTTAAGAAATTTATTAGAAATATATTTAAAGAATATGTTTTAAAATATAAGTTTAAAGTTTTGTTAATCTATTTCTAATAATAAAGCAAATTTCATACTGTTTAATCCTAATAAGTACTTTATTAGAGTAGAGGTGATATATATGTTAAACTAAAGTAAAATTCAAATGAAATATTACATGTTTATAATCCTAACTCTTATTGAAAAGCTATATTTAAAAGAAAAAAGAATGTTTTCTGAATGTTACTGGAAAATTATGCAAAACTAGGAGCTACAAGGTCACAAAGTTGCACTGATAATACTACATTAATTTTAATTTCTCATTCTGCTTGTTGCCGTACATCAATCATAATTATTTCATTTTCAAATCAATTAAAAAAATATTTTTCTACTGTTTTGCTTTGCCAATATATCCATCAATTCCTTATATTTAGCATGTTTTGTTTTCTCAATTTAAACAAATGTTTACCGACGGTTATCTGTGAAGTTCATGTAGAATTGAACAAAAGTGTTTTCCTGAATGTAAATGTAAAATGAAAATGCGTGAATAATTTGCATTACTTGAAAGTCAAATTTTTAGTTTTCTAAATTTTTTATTTATTTTATTTTTATTCCTTATTTTCATTTTGATTATTATAATCATCATTATTATTATGAATATGTTTATTATTATTTTTACTTTCCTCCTACAAACTGAAGCAATTAATTTTTAATTTGCAAATATGTTTTTTTTGAGGATTTATGGAAAGATTCCTTTCTTTAACATCATTATTATATTTGTTTTAAGAAACATTAGCTGTATTTGCAAATACAACCGATCAGGACACTTTCCATTAAACTTTCCTAAACTTATCCAAAATATTGGTTAAGGGTGAGGAAGTCACATGAAAAAAGTCTCTGAAAAAACCTGGAAATAAAAACTTTGGTAAACAAAGTCCCAATTTTCTAAAGCTCTAGGACAAAATGTCACTGGAATAAAGTCCTGAGTTTTTGATTCCTGGAACTTTTTTTCCTAAAATAAAATGGGGGCTGCCAATAAAATCTCAGGAAATAAGATCACAGGAATTAAAGTCCTAAAGAAAAAAGTCATATATCTTGGGAAAATAAGGTCAAGTCTTAGACATTTTAATGAAATGGACTTTTCTTCTTTGCATCTGCAATCATATTGAAATTACCAACGGGTGTTTTTAATATCAAGTCTCATGTTTTCCATAGTCGTAAACATGCTGTTTCCATGCATTTTCCAAAGTAAAAGAACTTTTTGTGGGGACTTTTTAATATGAAATTATACTGAAACCAGAAAAAAAAGTCCAAAAAATAAAGTCTCTTAATGGACTTTTTATTTCAAGGACTTTTTTCCACAGAACTTTTTTAGTGCCAAATGAAATTTACCTTTATTGGAGGAGTTTGTCTCTTTCTCCGACCGGGGTTTATTGGATCAGGGGTACTGAAAGTAATTCCTGGTTCAGATCCATCATTCTCTGAAAGTAATATCGTCTACGACTTTTAGTTCTTAAAACAGGGTCACCCTCAAGGTTGAGACCCTAGGAGACGATGAGGACTACAAAAACTCGAAAAATATGACGATTTGATGTTTGATTTTTGGGTTCTCGATCCATTCAATTGAGTATTGTGATGATTTACGGGTCTCCCACGAAACATAACATTTGGTAAAATAGTTTACGTAGAATGCCTTCTTCCATAATTTGTTAAGTTGTTTAATACCAAAGACAATAATAAAAATATCATATAAGCGTCATATTATAGTAGAGTTAACTTCAAAGTAAAATATATTTGAGTCTTTAGAGGATGAAATGCCCGAAAGAGGATTATGAAATCCGTAAATCAGTTGTGTCGGACCCTGGAACTAGAGAAGACCTTCTCAACTTCCTCCCCTTTTATACACTCTTTATTTAATATGTATTTTTATATCTAGAAGCAATAAATGTACTTCTAAAGTGGTGACCCCAGACCGAAAACACAGCCTCCGGGTCGGAAACAGCGCAAGAATTGAAGGAGGATGACAATATCAAGACTAAACTTCTCTTCCATAAATTCACAATTTCTTCAACCTACATTAGCTACTCTTGGAGCTAATAAGCATAAACCTAAGCTACTCCTGGAGCTATTAAGCTAAACCTCAGCTTCTCTTGGAGCTAATAAGCTAAACCTTAGCTACTCCTGGAGCTAATAAGCTAAACCTCAGCTACTCCTGGAGCTAAAAAGCCAAACCTCAGCTACTCCTGTAGCTAATAAGCTAAACCTCGGCTACTCCTGGAGCTAATAAACTAAACCTTAGCTACTCCTGGAGCTAATAAGCTAAACCTCGGCTACTCCTGGAGGTAATAAGTAAACTTCAGCTTCTCCTGGAGCTAATAAGCTAAACTTCGGCTACTCCTGGAGCTAATAAGCAAACTTGAACCCTTCTGAAGCTTATCAGCTACACAGCTACTCCTGGAGCTAATCAGCTACACAGCTACTCCCGGAGATAATCATTTGAACAACTACTTCTGGAGCTATCAAGCAACTCAGCTACCTTCTTTAGCCTACTCGTAGATATTCTGGACGCCAGTTCTCTACAGGTTGAATCTATGCCCGCCTAGCCTTCACTACAAGTGATCTCTTCACATGGCCACTGGTCAGCCTTACTTAAGGTTGACCAGGACGTGGGGAGGGGGCTGATCAGAAATTCACAAACAACTAGTTGTGAATAATGATCAATCATCACCAGAACTCCTTCTACTCCATTTCCGTAAACACTTACAAGGAGATAAGTATCAGTCTCGACTTCCTCTATGCTCGAGACTTAGGGGGGACTCCTGTAGAGGATGAAATGCCCTAAAGAGGATTATGAAATCCAAAAATGAGTTGTGTCGGATTCTGGAACCGGAGAAAACCTTCTCAAATTCCTCTCCTTTTATACACTCTTTATTTAATATGTATTTATATCTAGAAGCAATAAATGTACTTCTAAAAGCCAAAGATTGTTTAAACGAAATAAACTGCAAACCGCCTTTAATATCAAATACAGTGTATGGAAGATGACATTCAAAACTATTTAACAGCTGTCATGTTTCGTGGGACACCCTGTACTAGATGATTAAGCACTGAAATATGTTAGTTTAGGCCAATAAGGAACCCTGAGTGTAAGAAAACAGACTCAACAAATTCCGTAGAACTGTCTCTAAAGTCTCATCCCTTGTGGGTAACTGTATATGTGGAAAATATCCCCCGATCTATTTGAAACCTTTCTTGTGTCCGAATTTAATGAATTTAACCTGCAAGGTAGATTTATTCTTAGCATGCATCTAGGAGGTAGATTTATTCTTAGCATGCATCTAGGAGGTAGATTTATTCTTAGCATGCATCTAGGAGGTATATTTATTCTTAACTCGGTTCTTAGTTTCTAGAAGATTTTAATGATTTATCATTTTTAACAGTTTTTTACAGGCCTTTGTTAAAAATTAGCATTGTAATACTTCTAAAATGGCAATAATAATACATCTCTTCTAGACTACATTATATGTAAATATTAAAAGGCCGTTTTTATTCTGCAAAACCTTGTATGAATATTTGTAAAATTTCTGCAAGATGAAATGTGATCGCACACGCAGAGAAAAAAAAGACAATTGTCAAATTCGTCACTCGATCCCTACTATGTTTATTGGGACACTTCTTTAGGGGTACTAATATGATAAAAATCAATCAATAAAATTTTAAAAATTCTGAAAGTTTTCTTAACGAAATTTCTTATTCGAAAATTAACATAGATTTTAAACTTTTAAAAAATTACCATTTGGTGGCAAAGGATCACTGCACAGAATTTGAATGAATCCGGCCAAGCTTGTGTAATCAAAATCCAGACATCGTGAAACATTCTAAATAATCTGGATCAATCATCCGGCCGATAACCAACCGGATTATTATCCGGCAACATTCTAAACAATCTGACTGATAACCGGCCGGATCATCATCCGGTATTATTTTAAGCAATTCGGTTCTGCCATCCGGCCTGCAATAAATGCAACCTGATTTTGTCTTATAACATAATAATATACTTGATGACAGGCGATAACATGATAATTTAGCCTGATTAATAGCAGATAAAATTATGGACAAAATTGATTGTTGTCCAGTAAAACAACCCGTATACATCATTATTCGAGTAACATTTTAAAGAACCCGGATTATTATCCAAAACATTTAAAAGAACCCGGATTATTTTCCAAAACATTTTAAAGAACCCGGATTATTATCCAACATATTTTAAAGAACCCGGATTATTATCCAAAACAATTAAAGAACCCGGATTATTATCCAAAACATTTAAAGAACCCAAATTATTATCCAAAACATTTAAAAGAACCCGGATTATTATCCAAAACATTTTAAAAAACCCGGATTATTATCCAAAACATTTTAAATAAATCGGATCAGTTTGCTGGTAATATTGTGAAATCCAATATCTTTAACCAGAAACAGCTTAAAGGGATTGTAAGCTTTAATCCAAGTGGCAATGCCTGATTCACAAAATTGCCATTTAAAGCTTTGTCTGGTTTAGTATGAATTAGATATGAATGTTTACAATTTAAAAACTGATTATTTTAATTGTGGTTTCCCACAACAATGACAATATCTCCCACATTATTGATCCGATAAAGAAATTCAAGGGTACCGTTGTGAATCGCACAACCATTGCGTATGTATTCTGTATGTATTATGTATGTAGGGTCACTTAAAATTAAGCTTACAAACTGGATTATCTTGTAACAATAGAAACAAACTGTAGTTTAACGTTGTCAAAATAATCGTCGTTTTCTTTCTTAATTTAATTCTTAACCCTAAACAGGATGGAGGGGGAGGCCCCCTTATAGTTTTTTGCCCCAATACTATGTTTGTTTACACCTTAAAATTTGTTTACTTTTAAGGAAAAGTAATTTAAAGGATTTTTTGCATTTTTTATTATTTATATGGTAGGGCAAAGGACGGTAAAAAGGCCTGTCCGTAAAAAATATATAATATAGCCCATAACTTTATTGTTTATTAAAGCTACGAAACTAAAAACTAAAAAAATTTCGAAAAGCTTTTGTAAAATAGCTGTTTAAACATGTGTCCCATCTAAACATTTGTCAAAAACAAACAAAATTATTTTACATTTTTCCAACATTTTTTGACATTTTTTTAAACCTCCGTGGCACCAAAACTATTAAAGAAAGTGGTCTAGTTTTCTTCTTCAATGTTGAGGGGGGGGGGAGTAAGTAGAGGAAAAAGAAGGAAAGGGTTAAATAAAGGTTGCGATTACCTCTGTGCAGTTTGCGTCTAGCTCCTTTAGAATACTGCAGCGTATCCTGTACAGTGTACATGAAGTCCAACAATACATGTACAAGAGTAAGAAACTGATAAATCCCCTCAAACTCTAGCTATACTTTTACAATGGCAACATAATTTTTTAAAAAATTTGATCCGATTTTACAAAATTTGAATTTTGTTTTATTCAATAGTAGATGATTGGAATATGAAAAGTTTGAACTGGTAAAGTATAAGGATTTGAAGTTGGAGTTGGAGGCAAGAAATCAGTTTCTTCGTTAAAATTAAAGTAAAAGGAATTAAGTTTTTGTTACAAATTCAAATTTTATACTCCCTACATCTTTGCAATCTGATGACGACATTAGATTGCAAAGTTTAGAAAATAAGAATTAGTCTTTCTTCTTCTAATTAGAATTAGAAGAAGAAAGACTCAATTCCTTTCATTCCCCATCTTGGTTTAGATAAAAAGTGTACTGCATTTTCTGGAAGGAATGTAAGCAATGTTCCTCACAGAATCTGCAAACAAGATTGATGGAAAATTTTGTTTCTGATTATTTAGTTTTGTGTTATTTATTATTGTATGTAACTCCTGGAATTGTACAAACTTTAGAAGAAGAAAAAACATTTTTATTTAAAAAGGCATTTTAGCTTAATTTCTTAAGATCATTTTATCCTTGAATTGTAAAAGCTTAAAAAATGTTTAATCACTTTCATTTTAAAGGAACTGTTAGCGTATCTTCTATGCAAAGATGGATTGCCAAATTCACAATGGTACCTTTGAAACCTTTATATGATAAATATTGTGGAAGATTTTGTCGTTTTTCTGCTTAAAATGATTGATTCTGTAAATTGCTAAATGTTGTATCGCAGTAGTAACTTTAGTAGAGAAATCATAATTAAAATTAAATTGCGCTAAAAATTATAAAGTTTTGTGATCGGCCTATCCCCTCTTTGCACGGATGTTTAGTGTTAATTTTAAAATACATTCTCAATTAACAGTTAAAACATGTGAAAATTAGTCATGATTGTGATATTCGTAAAAATGTAGCAGCAAATGAGCATGAAAATTCTGCTATTTTCAATACCAAATAGAATAGGACCCTTTCCTGTTTTGATTGCAGATCGTTACCGACGGAAAATTCTCCTAAAAAAAAAAGATTTTTATAAGTTTCTTTAAAGGGAGCGTTCATCTAATTGAATTTATATTAGAAACAAATATTACAAATAAAAATACAAAGCTAAGGATGTTAAATGATTGGGCCAAACATTTTTGTAAAGTGGGTTTTACAGACATTTTCCATCCATACTTTTAAATGACTAGGTTTCCAAGGCGCTTCGCGCCCATTTTCGATTTTAACCTTTAACTCTTACTCCTTTACAATTAGATTTTTTGTGGATTTAAAAAATTAAAAATTTGATTTTAGAATTTTTTTTAGAAATTTACATTTTTTTAAATCAAATTTTTTCTATTCTAACCATTCATGAACCTTTCCTGGAAGGTCCCTCAAAAAAATTGGGCCTGATTGGTTCAGCCGTTTTTACTTTTATCAGATAATACAAAAATTAGAATAGTCAATTTTCAATTCAGCCATTTCATTTATGTGATAAATTATATTTACCCAACATATTTATAAATGACAACAAGACACTAAATGTTTCAGGTTACCTTGTAGAGTGAGGGTTATGATCATAAAATATGTAAAAAAGTAACACAATTAAAAGATTTAAAATTAGAAAATAAACAAATTTATCTATAAAAAATAAGCAGAAACATTTTAGTGGGAGAAATCATTATTCTCTCCTGAAATGAGCAGAGTGTATTTCAGAGATCTAAATATGTATCTATAAAAATATATAAAGTAGTAATTTCTGTTTGTCTGTTTGAATCTCCGATCATAAGTTATAAACCGCTGGACCAATTTACCTCAATTTTTGATTGTGGAACTCAGTAGAACCCCGGTAATGTTCTAAATTCCAAGTTGAGTAGTTTGATTTTAGAGGAAAAATTCCAGTTAACCCAAGCTATATTCAAAGATATAAAGTTCTAAAGTCACTGTTTAGTCAAAGTGTATGAATTATGTGTTAATAAATAAAATATAAAAAAAGTTTAAATGAATAATTACCGCTGGTTGAGATTTGACTTGAACTTGTGTACTGTAACTGTAGAGGTTAAAGTAGAAACCGACAAGATTGTGAATTGTCCTGCAGTAAACAGAATTAAACAGATTGTTCACTCATATTACAAAATGTCCCTCGTTCTATCGATATCTTGCAGATAGAATTATTTTAGAACAAATTTGACTTCAAGATTGATTTCTAGCAGAAAAGAACATTTTGTTTGTATATATCCAACTATACCGAAACCATTTTTAAAATATGAAGATTTTGTTCAAACTTCTGAAATTTTTTCAAAATGACGAAAAATTTGTTCAAAGTGACGAAGGTTTTGTTCAAAAAGACGAAGATTTTGTTCAAAATTACGAAGGTTTTGTTCAAAATGACGAAGATTTTGTTCAAAATGGCGAAGATTTTGTTCAAAATGACGTAGATTTTGTTCAAACTGACGAAGATGTTATTTAAAATGACGAAGATTTTGTTCAAAATGACGAAGATTTTGTTCAAAATGACGAAGATTTTGTTCAAAATGACGAAATGTTTGTTCAAAATCACGAAGATTTTGTTCAAAATTACAATTATTTTGTTCAAAATAACAAAGATTTTGTTCAAAATAACAAAGATTTTTTTCAATTGACGAAGATTTTGTTCAAAATTCCGAAATTTTGTTCAAAATGACGAAGATTTTGTTCTAAACGACGAAGATTTTGTTCAAGATTATGAAGATTTTGTTCAAAATTCCGAAGATTTTGTTCAAAATTCCGAAGATTTGTACAAAATTCCGAAGATTTGTTCAAAATTCCGAAATTTTTGTTCAAAATGACGAAGATTTTGTTCAAAACGACGAAGATTTTGTTCAAAATTACGAAGATTTTGTTCAAAATTACGAAGATTGTGTTAGATTTTTAAACAAAATATTTAACTTACAGAGCTGCTAGAATAGCAAATATCAGCATCCAAACACATTTCCGAAGAGCTAGAAAAATATACTGACTAATAAAATAGTACCAAATATACTGACTAATAAAATAGTACCAAAATATACTGACTAATAAAATAGTACCAAAAATATACTGACTAATAAAATAGTTCCAAATATACTGACTAATAATTTAGTTCCAAATATACTGACTAATAAAATAGTTCCAAAAATATACTGACTAATAAAATAGTTCCAAAAATATACTGACTAATAAAATAGTTCCAAAAAAAACCACCAATGGCCGAGTTCAGAATAATTATTTATAAAGATAAAATGATTATTATTTGTATTTCTGGAAAAGTTGAATAATATACAAAAAACAGAATAAAAGCAAAAGAATTAATTTTCATAACTACAGTGATAACCAGATAACTCTTAAATAGTAAGACGACTTTTATAGCAATACTTAAGTGTATTTGAGGTTGTTACAAAGCAAACAGTTTACTAAGAGTTTACTTCTTAAATTACTAATAATGGAAATGAGATTATTAACACTGCACAATTGCTGTGTCTCCTGCTTATTGGACTTTTGTCATAACTTGAGACTGAAAGTCGTCTTTCTATATCAGAGCTTTCTGGTTATCACTGTAATATGTCAAATTTTGCGGCATTCCTATTACGACTTTGTGACCTAGTATTTTCTTATTTTTTGATTTTGGCGAGAAAAACGTTTAACCAACTGTGTCCGAGTTTTATGAATTTGAGCTGGTTTCAATTAAGCGCCGGCTAAAATCTTGAAAAATTGAATACAATTTTAAGTGAAACCAACCATATTTGAGCAGCGGCTCAACTTTAAGCTGCGCTCAAATTCTTTAAATTCGGCCTCTGGATGATTCTTTTGACAGAAAATAAGATAACTTTGCCCTCTAATTCCTGTTTTGGCTGTAATTGGAAAAAAAAATTTCCAACTTTAGAAAGTTAAACAAATCAATTAGTTTCTTTTTTCTTCAAATAATTGAAACTTTTAGCTCAGAGTTGGATCCCATTGTTGCAATGTACAAAAACTATGTCTAAGGTAATCGTCTATTTATATTTTTACTATTACCATCATAGATAAAGATAGATTGTGGCATAAGACGACATTTTTCATCTTGAAAGATATAAATGTACAGAGATGTTTTAAAGATATTCCTATTATATAGATTAACTTGGTCGGTTGTGAACATTGGCTGTTCTAATGGCATTGAGTACTTGTGGTGCACATGAGTTCTGTAGAGAGAAATTTAAGTTAGTTTAGTCCTTCTCATGTCCTTCTTCAGTTCTCGTCGATATGATATATTGCTCAGTGAAATATTGTTGTTCAAACAGTTTCATTCCCGAAGTTACTTTACACTCTATTATGAAATCCATTAAAACACCAAACCACCCCGCTTATCGTTGAAGTACACTTTGACCCCTAGAAGTATGAGTTCCCGTACTGTACAATTCTTGGTGATTTTGCGTACATAAGCTATCTATGTTTATTTATTTATCTATGATTACCATCCTTGAAAGCATTGTTCCTGTAAAATAGGGATTTCTGTATAAATACTTTGCTTGTCTGTCTGTTTGTACCCAATAAACATCAAAACGGCTGAACCGATCGGGCCCAAATTTTGTGTGGGACCTCACGTGACCCCAGGGAAGGTTTATGAATGATCAAAATTTCAAAACTTCAAAAACTAAAGATGGGCTAAAAGCCAATTATTTTAAAACCACTTTACGTTTTCAGTGCGAATAAAGCTAACTAAAATATTTTGGGGTTTAAAGAAGAATTTAAAATAAATCTTTCTAAATCTACCGTCGATCTACAACAAATATTGGCTTGAAATGACTATATTACTAATCGATTTATCTAAAAATTATGAATTATCTTTTACCCAAGCATTTCTTCTCTCACTATTTCGACTAAATTAGAAATCATATATGTTTTCAATCATGATGCCTATTCTTAAAGAGCTGATGAGGAAAACAAAAAAGTTATGTATAACTAATAAAACCGACTAAATTTAAATTTCTCATACTTTTCCGTATATACTTATGTTGACAGCAACCCCCTTCCCACCCGCGCCAAAAAACAGGTGCTGTCAACATAAGTATATGATTGCGTAAAATCAAGAGGAGGACGAGGTCACAAAGTCATGTCAGTCGCATTAATTTGTGTTTCTATCCAGTTCACATTTTATAAATATTATTATTATTATTATCATTATTATTATTATTATTATTATTATTATTATTATTATTATTATTATTATTATTATTATTATTATAATAATTTTCAGTGTTTTTCCCTGAATATTCTCCTCCGGCATTGGCAATTCCATTGATGCTTGTAGATGTCCAGAAATCCTAAAAAAAAGTTGTTTTTGTTTTCGTTTTATTGTAACCAGAAGCAATAAAAACGCAATATGCCAAATAGTGTAGAGCTCAGACAATTTCGCGTAGTTGCGTAATTCAACTTAAACCGTTATTAATTCAATTAAATTTAAAATTTTTGGGATAATTTTAATGTTGTTTAAATATCAAGATCTTTTTATTCATGTGTCACATGTTAATATTTGTTAAAAGTAAAAATAACTATTTTTCAACATTTCTACGATGTACTTTTTTTAAAAAACCTCCCTAGCACCCAAACCATAAGAGATTCGAGGTCTAATTTTTTTTAATGAACTGGCCTTGAACAGAATGACTAAGGACATCACCTCTTCTATCTCAACTATAAGGGCAAGATCGTAGAGGGGGGGGGGTGTAAAACGCCATCTCTCCATCTTTTTTAGATAAAATACTGCCCAATCAGGAAAGGGTTAATGCACTGGCCTAGAATTGTTTGACTAGAGGTAGTGCATACTGAACAGGTATCATATTTTTACAATCTCAACTCTAAGGGCAAATTCATTGGGGGGGGGGAGGGGGTTGTAAAACACCCACCTCTCCATCTTTACCAGATGAAAATATCCCAATAGTGAAATCATTATTTTTTTTGGGGGGGGAGGGGAGGGGAGGTCGTTTACCACCCTATGTTTTTCTACATAAATTGTAAACAGCTCACACTCAAACAATCGAACTTGTTCAACCTTCTACATAAATTTTGAATACATGAAAAAAAAATTTGTTTATGCACAGAGTAGGAAAATTTGTTTATGCACAGAGTAGGAAAATTTGTTTATGCACAAGTAGGAAAATTTGTTTATGCACAGAGTAGGAAATCGAAATTTGTTTATGCACAGAGTAGGAAAATTTGTTTATGCACAGAGTAGGAAAATTTGTTTATGCACAGAGTAGGAAAAATTTGTTTATGCACAGAGTAGGAAAAATTGTTTATGCACAGAGTAGGAAAATTTGTTTATGCACAGAGTAGGTAAAATTTGTTTATGCATAGAGTAGGATATCGAAAATTGTCCATAACTTTTTATTAATCATGGTACATGGAACTTAAATTAAAATTTTGTTTGAAGTTTTTTCTCTAAAACTTTCAGGATTGAGGAGGCCTATAAATTCTGCCAAAGTTGGAATTTTGAAAAGTTTGCAACCCACCAGTTTGCTCAAAAATAAGGATTAGAAAATTATAGATTAACAATTTTTAAATTTTTATATGTTTCTTTTTTAATAGATTTTTTTGTCCCTAGGACATGATCGGTATGTTACGATCAAATCTCGGAATTTTTCTATTGCGAAAGTTTGGTGTTGTAGGGGTTTTAATTGATCTACCAGGGTTGTAATCTGACAGCACATGCATCCATCCACGCTTCATTTAAACTGAGAAGAGGGTTGACAAGATTCCAGCTGTCTAAGGGCTTCTTGGGCCTGAGAATAGTAAAGTGCAGGAATTCTTCTGCTAAACAGGAATAAGGACCGGGTGCCTTACAGACAGGAAACATCACACTCATCGCTTACAATCATTTGTAAGCCCTGATTCGATACCTTCAGGTACCAATAGCGGGCAACAATAGACTCTCCCTGCTTTTACACCTTTCCTCATCATTCACTTGTATCAATCTACTTCAAGCTTCCTTCTTGTTGAGTAGAAAGCACGCACCCTTTCGCTGCAAGAGTTGTTGGCAGCCGCCCCTCTGTCCTCCTACATCCGTCAGGTGATCATAACTGCTACACCAGATGTCGGCTTCAGATGTTTTTAAAACCACAGGTTTGTGTAGAGTACGGGAATCGAACCCGTGAACACCAGCCTGGACACCAATCCAGTTACTGGCTGTGAACAAGTGTGCTTAACTTCAATAAGCTAACGAGAAGTGAGATCTGGTATCACACACTCCCCACCCCTCCCCTCCCTATGTTTCTAATTTACTTTTTCTAGTAAATTTTTAAGTGTACTTTAAAAGTATGTGTGAATTAAATTAATGTTAAGTTCATGGTTATGTAAACACATAATTATATTATATATTACATGTGATGGATATTACAATCATCAAGTGTAAATATTTAAACAACGATTAGTTTAAGCTATTCCCGGAAATTTTATATAACATGTGCAGACCAGCTTATTGTAAGTAATGTCTCAGCGCTGGTTCATTTTTAAACTGCCATAATTTCACCTTTCTTAAATTAAATCAGAAGAATCTTTCCATCATTTCGCAAGCTCTTTAAAAATACATGGCTTTATTGTGTCATATTTCGACATTTTTTAATAAGGATTAAATTTTTTGATTATTAAGAAACAGTTTTTGATTAATAATGTTGTTTTTCTTTAAAACTATATTTAGAAGAAAGTAAAACTATTCGAGTCTTGTTCTTCAAATTTAAAGCTAAGAATTTAGTTTTTGTAACAATTCAATACTGGTTTAAGAAAAAAAATATATTAAAGGTAATTTGAATTTATTCATTTTCTTTAAACCCTTATTAAAACTGACTCGTCGCTCTTAGCTTTTTTTCTTAAAATCTTTATACTTGAGACAATTCAAAAAACTGGTTTTAGAAAGAAAAAAATTTTAAATTATTTTGAATTTAGATAATTTTTCTTCACGTTTACCTTCTCCTTTTTTCTTCTGAATCTGATTGTTTTTTTTTATATTTATTAAAAACAAATAGAAATTTATTTTAAAATGCTTATATATATGTGTATGTTTACAATGACTTTTCAAATTTTTCTTTTAAAAATACTAGAGATGCTCTTTGCAGAGTGTCTTTCAAAAATACGATAAAAGGAAAATCTTTGATGATATTAGCATTCTTCTTTGATGAAAAAAAGTTTGCAAAATGATGCAAATTACATTATACAATAATATATATTCGGATCAAGATTAATTTTTAAATAATTATCAAGGAATTGTGAATTGATATAGTGGCATGTTCATTCACAGCACACGGTACCCTGAAGCCCTAGATAAATTAGAATAGATTGTTCATGTCGTCTTCACCATACCGGAGAGTTACAGTTGAAATTGAAAATGGCAATTTAGCTATGGACTAGCTACTGACATACAGTACATTGGATATAAAGGTTTGAACCAATTTAAACAAAAAAGAAACACAAATTTTAAACGATTTTTAATGGCGAATTTCAGGGCGACAGTCAACCATAAAGGCTGGGGGGTCTGAATCTATGAATAGCCTGGGGGGAGGGGGGAGCGTCCCACGCCACTCCCATTAAAAAAAAGGCCTTAGAGAATAGGTATAGAATTAAAATGCATAATCATAGACCAATTTTTCAACGCCAGCTCATTGAAAAAAAATTAGACAGATAATTCTGATAGTTGGCTCTAGGGAAGGTTGAAAAAAAGCCGAAAAAAGGTATAATTGTAATTTTTTTTAAACAGATATCCAATCGTGACACATGTGTCTAAATCCATTTTTTAAGGAATTTCTAAATATATAATTTTTAGATCTGTAGCTTTAGTCACAAAAAAGTTAAGGGCCATTTTAGATTTTTTTTTACACAGACCGAACTTTTTTACCGCCCTGTACCCTACCCTATGAATTAAAAAAAATTGACAGAAAAATCCTTTAGATTAACTATTCATTAAAAGTCACAAAATTTCACGATAATAGTGACAAAAATGATCATTTTTGAATTTTTTAAAACACCAACCCTCCGTTGACTGTCCTCCAACCTACCCTATGCAATTAAAATTTTTTTTTTACAAAATTTGTTCATAATTATGATATTGAAAAAGCCGTTTTTCCGTTACCACAAGAGGGGCCCCCCGTTGTGATAGGGGTAAAATCGTTAATTACTTCATGAGTTTTGATTTTTCAATGTATTTCTTTTAAAATGTTTCTCAAAATTTACTACTTTATAATTTGCTGCTGGTGCAACATGGATTTGATATTGTTGATAAAATTGTATCAACCTTAGTTCTTTAGGGAAAATTAATAAAGGAATTGAATTTTTGCCACAAACTTAAACCCTCTGATTCCAATATCTTTGCAACCTTATGGTGCAAACCTGTGATATTTCAAACTTAGATTATTTTATCTATAAGTATTAATAGTTTGAAATATCTAAGGTCTACGGCATTGGGTTACAAAGATATAGAGATTAGAAAAGCAGAGTTTGTGGCAAAAACTCAATTCCTTTTTTTGTCATGTGAAATATATTTAAAATGTGACCTGTCAGGATGTGAAATATATTTAAAATGTGACCTGTCAGGATGTGAAATATATTTAAAATGTGACCTGCCAGGATGTGAAATATATTTAAAATGTGACCTGCCAGGATGTGAAATATATTTAAAATGTGACCTGCCAGGATGTGAAATATATTTAAAATGTGACCTGCCAGGATGTGAAATATATTTAAAATGTCACCTGCCAGGATGTGAAATATATTTGAAATGTAACCTGCCAGGATGTGACAGGAATCTTTCCAGCCCCTGGGGGGTTCTTAGTCTTATACATTCTTATCTGGGGAAGGAAAAAAACTCAACAAATTTATTTTCTAAAATAGGTTTCAGCATGCACAATAACGCAATTAATGCAAACATTAAAATTTTAGTCTACACATGCAAACTATTAAAAGCATTTAAAAATGAAAACATTTTATGATTGTTTTCAAAATTTTGATTAACATTTTAGGAAAATCTGAAACTCACAGATTGTGCGTCAAACAAAATGTTTGTAATAATTTTAATGGTTTAATAATTTTAAAAAATTGATTCTGAAAGCGTAACCACCCAAATAAATGTTTTTGTAAACCGACTTTGCACTCAAACTCCGTACTAATACATCATTTAAACGTTTTATATGTCTCAAATGATTCCTAAAAAATTTCTCCACAATACTACATTCTCAGTTCAAATACAATACATTGCCGGTCACTCCCTTTAAAAGCTTTAGTATAAGAGGAGCTATGATTGAAAATTTTAATCCTTAATTTACTGGTTTGGGTCATGCAACTAATCATACAACGTAGTATAGTTGGAAGTAATTAACCTCAACCAAGGATCCAATAAAACTGAATTAACGTCAACTAAAGACACACATAATTAATAGTGTCTAGAGATGGGCATGGTCGGTCCTTTTTCATTTCGTTCGTTTTTTAGCAATCGTTTAAACAAAATTATTACTAGGACCACCTAGCCCTGCCTACTGTATAGTTGGTGTACTATCGAGGCAGTATAAACTAGGACCACCTGGCCCTGCCTACTGGTTAGTTGGTGTACTATCGGGTCAGTATAAACTAGGACCACCTACCCTGCCTACTGTATAGTTGGTGTACTATTGGGTCAGTATAAACTAGGACCACCTAGCCCTGCCAAATGTATAATTGGTGTACTATCGGGGCAGTATAAACTAGGACCACCTGGCCCTGCCTACTGTATAGTTGGTGTACTATCGAGGCAGTATAAACTAGGACCACCTAGCCCTGCCTACATTATAGTTTGTGTACTGGGTGGGGCAGTATAGACTAGGACCAGCTTGCCCGGCCTGCTGTATAGTTGGTGTACTAGGCGGGGCAGTATAAACTAGGACCACCTAGCCCTGCCTACTGCATATTTGAAGAACTGGGTGGGGCAGTAAAAACTAGGACCATCTAGCCCTGCCTACTGTATAGTTGGTGTACTATTGCGGCAGTATAAACTAGGACCACCTAGGCGGGGCAGTATAAACTAGGACCACCCAGCCCTGCCTACTGTATGGTTGGTGTACTGGGCGGGGCAGTATAAACTAGGACCACCTAGCCCTGCCTACTGTATAGTTGGTGTACTGGACGGGGCAGTATAGACTAGGACCAGCTTGCCCGGCCTACTGTACAGCTGGTGTACTGGTTGGGGCAGTATAGACTAGGACCAGCTTGCTCTGCCTGCTGTATAGTAAGTGTACTAGGCGGGGCAGTATAAACTAGGACCACTAGCCCTGCCTACTGCATATTTGAAGAACTGGGCGGGGCAGTATAAACTAGGACCACCTGGCCCTGCCTACTGTATAGTTGGACAACCTAGCCCTTCCTACTGTATAGTTGGTGTATTGGGTAGGGCAGTATACACTAGGACCACCTAGCCCTGCCTCCTTTATAGTTGGTGTATTGGGTGGGGCAGTATAAATAAGGACCACCTAGCCCTGCCTACTGTAAAGTTGGTGTATTGGGCGGGGCAATTCAAACTAGGACCACCTAGCCCTGCCTACTGTATAGTTGGTGTACTATCGGGGCAGTATAAACTAGGACCACCTAGCCCTGCCTACTGTATAGTTGGTGTACTGGGCGGGACAGTATAAACTAGGACCACCTAGCCCTGCCTACTTTATAATTGGTGTACTGGGCGGAGCAGTATAAACAAGGACCACCTAGCCCTGCCTACTGTATAGTTGGTGTACTATCGGGGCAGTTTAAACTAGGACCACCTGGCCCTTCCTACTGTATAGTTGGTGTATTGGCTGGGGCAGTATAAACTAGGACCTGCTAGAAAGTTTCAAAATGTATATTTTATTTTTTTTCGGCTTCTGGCCTCCTCCCCGCTTTCGGGTTCTTGACTTGTGTCTGAAATACACTCATTTTTTCCATTCATAAAAAAGAGAGTGCCTTGAATTTTCCATTATGAGGCAAACTTCGAGGAAGGCTGCGTTTACTTAAATATTAAATATGTCAGTGCCTACTGTAAAGTTGGTGTATTGGGCGGGGCAGGTTAAACTAGGACCGCCTAGCCCTGCCTACTGTATAGATGGTGTACAGTGCGGGGCAGTATAAACTAGGACCGCCTAGCCCTGCCTACTGTATAGATGGTGTACAGTGCGGGGCAGTATAAACTAGGACCACCTAGCCCTGCCTACTGTATAGTTGGTGTACTATTGGGGCAGTATAAACTAGGACCACCCAGCCCGGCCTACTGTATAGTTGGTGTACTGGGCAGGGCAGTATAAACTAGGACCACCTGGCCCTGCCTACTGTATAGTTGGTGTACTGGGCGGGGCAGTATACACTAGGACCACCTAGCCCTGCCTACTGTTTAGTTGGTGTACTGGGCAGGGCAGTATAAACTAGGACCACCTGGCCATGCCTACTGTATAGTTGGTGTACTGGGCGGGGCAGTATTAACCACGGCTATGAAGGTTCCGGTTCAGCTCAGATTCAAATGTACATGAGTTGAGTGTAAACTGAAAGAACATGAAAATATTCGAATTTTTGCTTGTATGAGTTTTGTTGATTTATGAATCTTCCTCAATAAATATTTTATATTATTATTCATGTTTATCAGGAAACATAAATAAACCAACAAAATATATTTATTTTATTTCATGATACTATTATTTTAAATCTTGAACTTGGAATTTTTAGACAATTTTAAGCAAGTGATATTTAATTGAATTCCATTACAATTTTGGCTCACGCTTTTATTCTTTTCTTGTGTTCAAAAATAAAAAAAAATATTTTGACATTCCCACCGTTCATCCACTCCAGCGCAAAGAAAAGAATCGGAAAACCTCCGCTTTATCGCTGGAGTAAAGATCTTTTATTATAAATATTTAAAAAAAGACCATTTTAAAAAACATATCCACGTGAGATTAAGCTTTTTGATTTTTTTACTGGGACCAATATAAATAGTCAAATAGCACCCCACCCCCTCCTGTATTTTTGTGCTAATAAGTAATATAAATTGTGTGTGTTCCACGATGGCTTGAAACCAAGTACTATTGGTATAGGGTATAATATACATTATATTGTGAGAACTATAACACGTTATATATATATATATATATATATGAATATTTGAACAGTTTTCGGACCTAGCTATGTAGAAAAGGATATAAAACAAACATCAAACATATAATTTCCAGAATAATAACGTTTTTAATTAAATTTTGAATTAAATGCTCCATCAAGTTAAACTTACACTAACATATAAAGGCAAATAAAATGTATTTAAAAGTATTTGAGCTAGGTTTGCCTAGTTGAACTTCAAGTAGTTGTTAAACTACTTCTCGATATTAATTAATTCCCACCTTTAAAAAAATTGCAAATTGAGTCTTTGTAACAAACTCTGCTTTTCCAGTTTTATTTTCTTTGCGACCCAATGTCTTAGAAATTAGATATTTTAAACTATAAATTCTATTAGATTAAATTATTTAAGTTAAAAATATTAATGGTTTACGACATCATCAGGCAGCAAAGGTAGAAAGTTTGAGTTTGTTGCAAAGACTCAATTCCTTTACGTTGAAAAATGAGAAAAGTATAGATAGTAGAATAAGTATATACACAAATATATTAAGGAAAAGATTTATGTCTAGTTAGGGTAAAATGTGGATATATTTTTATAAAAATAATATTGCCTAACTGCCTGACTGCCAAATGCCTTGAATACCATGCGTTTTCTTTCACTTGACCAAAACCATGCTGTTGATCAGCTAGGATTTCATCTTTCTTTTAAAACTAAAAATTGAGGCAGTAAGATAGTATATAGGAGATATAGAAGATAGGAGTCTGGGAAGTAATCATAGTTATTGGAGTATTATCGGAGATCCCCCTCCCTTATTGGAGTATTATCGGAGATTCCCTCCCTCCCTTATTGGAGTATTATCGGAAATCCCCTCCCTCCCTTATTGGAGTATTATCGGAGATCCCCTCCCCCCCTTATTGGAGTATTATCGGAGATCCTCCCTCCCTTATTGGAGTATTATCGGAGATCCCCTCCCCCCCTTATTGGAGTATTATCGGAGATCCTCCCTCCCTTATTGGAGTATTATCGGAGATCCCCTCCCCCCCTTATTGGAGTATTATCGGAGATCCTCCCTCCCTTATTGGAGTATTATCGGAGATCCCCTCCCCCCCTTATTGGAGTATTATCGGAGATCCTCCCTCCCTTATTGGAGTATTATCGGAGATCCCCTCCCCCCCTTATTGGAGTATTATCGGAGATCCTCCCTCCCTTATTGGAGTATTATCGGAGATCCCCTCCCCCCCTTATTGGAGTATTATCGGAGATCCTCCCTCCCTTATTGGAGTATTATCGGAGATCCCCNATCCCTATATCTTTGCAACCAGATGGAGTAAACCTTTGATATTTCAAACTAAAATAATTTGGTCTAGCAGAATTCATCGTTAGAAATATCTAAGGTCTACTACATTATGTCCAAAAGATAAAGGAATTTCATTTCAGAGTTTGTGGCATAGACTAAATGGCATCTTATATCAAACTTGAACTCTAACAGGCTTTACATATTGGCAATGATGCATGATTATAAATTTTAAAATAACAACTTATATTTAAGTAGGTTTTTTTATCATTATTATTATACAGTTACTTTCTGAGATGCAGAGATGAAAACTATAAATGCTGTTTGTTGGTTTAACTAAGCATTATATTTATAATGATTCTAAGTTTAAAAACATGAAATTATCACAAGAAAAATAGTTATAGAAATAACTAACTATCCTTGGTCTCGACAGAAATTGATATTCGAAATA